GTTTTAGCTGTGTCACCCATCTTGCTATATTGGGTTTTTATTTTCATTTAATTTTAAGATTTGTCTGATTCTCTTATGGCTTTTTCTTTAACTCAAGGTTATTTAGAAGTGTGTTCATTAATCTCCAAAAACTTGGAAAATTCCAAGGTATTGTTTTATTAATTATTTCTAGTTTAATTCCATTGTAGCCAGAGAGCAAATTTTCTATGATTTCAATCTCTTCCATTAGTTTATATTTATTTATGGCCCAGAATATCATTTACCTTGGTGAATGTTCTATGTACACTTGAACAAAATGGATATTCTGTTGTTGAGTGAAATATCCTTCACATGTCAATGAGGTAAAGTTGATTTTACTCAGGCCTTTTATATCTTCATAGATTTTCTGTTTACTTGTTTTATCAATTACTAAAACTGTTGATATTCCCAACCATTTAATAGATTTGTCTGATTCTCCTTGCAGATCTATCAACTTTTTAAAAATCTCCTTTTAAAAACATGAACACTTATACTTGTTACACCCTTTTGATGAATCGACCTCTTTATCATTAAGAAATATCCTTCTTTATCCCTGCTAATACTCCTTGTTCTAAAGACTATTTTGTCTGATGTTAATATAGCTACCACTCCAGCTACCTTTTTAAAAAAAAATTATTGATTTTAGAGAAAGAGAGATAGGAAAGGAGGAGGAGGAAAGAGACATCGATTTATGTCCAGGGATTGAATCTGCAACCTTGGTATATCGAGGACAACACTCTAACCAACCGAGTTACCCAGCCAGGGCTCCAGCTAGCTTTTGATTTTTGCTGGTGAGTTATTTCTCTTCTCATCCTTTTATTTTTAACCCAATTACATTTTTATTTTTAAAGTTTTGTGGGGGGTTTGTTATAGTATATGAGTATAATTCTACTTTTAAAATCTAATCTACAATCTCTGCCTTTTAATTGGGGTATGTAGACCATTTACATCAATATATGCAGTGGTATAGGAGGATTTAAGCCTACCATTTTGTTTGGAGTTTCCTATTTGTGCCATTTTGGTCATGTTCTTGCCTTCTTTTGTATTATTTTTTAGGATCACATTATATCTCCACTACTAACTAATTAGCTATATTTCTATCTTTAGTGATGACAAAGGAAGAGCCTATCTACATCTTTAACTTACCACAATTCACCTATTTCTAAATAGTGTTATACCACGTCACATAAATTGAGACCCTTACAACAGTACAGTTCCATGCCCTCCCTATCGCTATTTGTTATTGTTGTGGACTTTTACCGTTAAATTTGTATTAATCTCATAATACATCAGTCCAGTTTGGCTTTAGATGAGCGTTTGGAAAATTATGGCCAGCAGGCCAAATCCAGCACATGGCCTGTTTTTTTGTATCACCCCTGGGCTAAGAAAGGAGCTAGAAAATAGAGAGTGAGAAAGTAAGCAAGAGAGGAGAATGAGAGTCTGTTTCTTTGCTCTGGCTATCTTCACAATATTCTTTATCTTTGGTTTTTAGTACTTTGACTATGCTGTGTCTGAGTGTTTTTATTTTTATATTATCCTACTTGGGCTTGTCTGAGCATCTCAGAACTGTGATTTATTTTCTTTCACTCATTTTTGAAACTCCAAGTACTTCCATTTTCTCTCTCTTCCCCTGGAATTTCAATTACATGTGCGACAGTCTGATATTATCCCACAGCTTTGGAATCATCTGTCTTATTTATTCACTTTTTTCTCATTGTATTTCACTTTAGATAATTTCTATTGACTTTCTTGAAGTTCAGAGCCTTTCCTCAGCTGTGCCAACTCTATTGATAAACACTCCAAAGACATTCTTCATTGCTATTGGCTATTTTTTTTTTTATTTCTAGCATTTCCATCACAGCTGAAATTGCCCAAATGTTCATGTAGGTTGCCCACCTTTCCCACTAACTCCTTTAACACATTAATCATTGTTATTTAAAGTCTCTGCCTCACAGTTCCAATATCAGGGTCATCTCTAAGTTTTGTTCTGTCACTTGTTTCTCTTGACAATGGATTGTTTTCTGTTACTTTTTTTCTAGTCTTAGAATTTAAGACTGAATGCCACACATATTAGGGAGAACAATAGAGACAGATAAATAATATTTATATCTGGCCATGTGGAGGAATGAGTAAAATCTAGTCAAAACAGGCTTAGATTTTGTTGTTATTTTTACCTTTGGTGCACCGCAGTCTGCACGTTCCTCCAGGGACTGGCTACTACCTTGTGTACTTAGAGTTGGACCTGGGTACCAGAGGGTTTGTTTTCCTGCCCCACCCTCCACTTGAGCAAGTCCTGCTTACCTGTGTCATTCACAGACTCGTGCCTCCCGAAGCGGTACACCGCTGTTGCTTGTTTGATACTGAGCTGATGATAGGTGGAGGTAGAAGTTCTTGGTTCTCCTCATGCATTCTCAGACTTTAGGTAGGGCGTGTGCACCTGGGCCCTAGGGTAGCCTTTCAGAACTCCTCCCTCCTCCCTCAGGGTAGCCTTTCAGAACTCCTCCCTCCTCCCTCAGGGCAGCCAAACATGGCCATTTCTCCCAGGAGAAATGTCCCTGAACTTCTGCCATAAATTGCAGATCTCTGGTTGGTATTGGGTGCAGGATCCGGGGCCCAAGGCTTTCTGCCTCTCCCCAGGAGCAAAAGGGTTTTTTTTACAATTACCCCTCCCCGACAGGCAGTGGCTCTTTGCCTGGGCAGTGAAGGCAGGAAAGTTTCTTCTCTCTTCTTTAGTGGCTAATGGCTTTTATTCATGCGAGAGAAAGGCCTGAACAAGTAGACAGCGTTTTACATATGCCACCCAATATTATTCGATCAACCACTACCTGCCTGCCTGTGTCACTGAGGGATCTCTTCTTGCCAGACTCCTACCTCAGTCACTCTCATTAGCACCCAGTGGGTGCTGGTGCAAAGGAACTCCTAAGTGAACGTGAACTACTGTCACGTCAGGGCTCCCACTTATTCTCAGCTAATATTTTAGTCCACATGTTAAAGTATTATTTAAAATTTTACCTGATTACTGTTGGGAGACAATTCTTCCTGGGTCTCTCATGTTCCTGGGATGATTTTGAATAGAGGCACTGACTGCCTTTGTTCTGGACTATCTTTTCCACCTGGGAAAATACCATCTCTCTCTAGAAGACCGGTTTGATTACTCTCCACAATAATAAATGTGTCTCCCTCCAGAGCAAAGGGCAGGCATGCTTAATGCCCTTTATCAGATATTTAGGTTGCCTGAGCTCAGGGTTCCTCCCCTATAATGCAACCCACTGTAGGGCTGGAGTCAGGGAACCAGCACAATTTGTTCATCTGGCCATGTGGGGCATGCCTCAAGGTGTCGCTAAGTCCTCTGTCTCGGATTCAGGAAACTGTGGCAAACTAACATAATTAGCAGGAAGGGTAAAATCTTAAACTATTTCAAATTCTTGATAATTTTTTCTTACTTGCTTCATTGGCAGCCTCTGGTTCTCTGACAAAGGTGAAACAGTTCATATATCCTGTCTTTCCTTAAAAGGTCTTGTCACTCTAGAATTCAGTTCCCTTGATTGTCTTCTCTGATGGGTAGAAGAAAAGTTATGATTTTTTTTCTTGTTAGGATGAGAGTCACATTCTCTTGCAGCTTTTCTACATCTTTAGTGGAAGCACAGCTCCCAAAGTATACGTATTTAACTACTTTCTATTACCAAAGACAGGCACTTAATGATCTGCAAACTCTTACAGTTCAGCATATAAACATGTTTAATTAGTTTTTAAAAGAAGCATACCTTGAGGAATGAACTCTAGGAATTTTGGATAAACAGCTGGTGGAAAATTTCAGCACAATGGCTGGAGGCAATGGACCAAGGATGTTTACCTTCCAGCGGTTGAGGCAGGAGAGACTGAAAGAATCTGGCTCATAAGGGATGAGATATTACGCAAAATGTATGTATGCATTCGGCAACAAGTCTTATAGAGGATCGGGGACAGACAGAAAAACTACAACCACTTGGGGATAGGCAGAGGGCTCCTGAAACTCTCAAAAATGTGCAGGAGGATGTGACAGAAACACCTGAATAGGATACGAAGAACAGATGAAAGAACAGCAAGTAGTGTTGTGAAGAAAACCTTTCTACACTCTCCTTTTCCTCCCCTACACATTCACTCTCACTTTTTCTGGTAAACAGAATCTAGATTTCTTTTGTGCGATTTACCTCTTCTGCATTGTGGAATTCTGCTTCCTGTTCCCCTAACCGTGATTCAGGACCCCCTGAATCATGAAAGGTTAGAAAAACATTTGGAACTAATTCAACACTGAGCTGTTAGTGTTTGCTATATGGATCCCTGGTTCCTATGTTGTCTTAATTCCTATCTTTATTTTTCTTCTAAATCTGTGAATTACCCAATACAGTGAGTCCTCCATATCCATGGATTTTGCATCCATGGACTCAACCAACCACGGATCAAAAACACTTTTTTTAAAAAACCCAGAAAGTTCAAAAAAAAACAAACAAACTTGTATTTGTCACATGCAAAGCACTATGCTGAATCCACATGAATGAAGTGATGTTTAGGCATACCCTGCTGTAAGCTTATAAGCAAATATAAGTTATGTGCAAATATTATGTCATTTTGTACACAATATCTCAGCATCCTCGGATTTTGGTATCTGAGTGGGAGGGTCCTGGAACCAATCATCAGGGTTGAGTGTGTGTTGCTTACAACCAAAGAAACCCAACTGGTAGAGGGAATGTATGTAGTCCAATAGAGGGTGTGACCAAGGCCAAAGAAACTTTTGAAGTAACCTGAAATCTAGATACTTTTTAAAAAATTGGTAAAAGAACATATATTAAGAACTGTCAAAATTGGGGGCTATGGTACTATGACTAATTCGTTTCATGTTTCTTTGTGCTTATAGTTAATTAGCATTTTCTAATGGTTAGACTGACAATGTTTTATTTCTACAAACTATATTTAGAGTTCACTCTCATATCTCCCATGTTAGAAATAAAAACAGAGGGGTGGAGGATAATGGTGAAAAGAAGGGGAAGGGATTAGTCAAAGCCCATTAGTCAAAGGGATTAGTACGAATGACCGAGGGACGTGGACAAAGGGGTGGGATTGATTGTAGGAGTGGTGGTGGGCTTGGCTGGGAGGAGGAGGGCAAAGGGGGAAAAACGGGGACAACTGTAACAGAACAAACAGTAATAATTTAAACAAGAAATAAAAACAAATGACAATGAACTGAAATAATACACACTACATGGGACAGGAGAAAAATTAAGAAGGAGGTACTAAGAATGGCAAATGACCTGTTACAATGAAATGTATGCATTTATTGAAAGTTAGCTCTTTATGATTTTTCAATTCCAGTTATGAAAGCCATTTGTACTAGGCAAACCGTATGTGGAGAAAATTTCAAGTACAAGATATACCAAGTAGGTATTACAGTGAAAAATACAGTGGAGCACCACATAGAATGGTCTCAACAAGTTTCTTAAAATGCACAGAGCAAAAATGAGACAACTTGTTACAAACAGATAAGCTTGACAAGTGCTTTTGGGATGAAAAATTTTCTTTGGTTAATCTTGTCCTGGTATATAAAAGAGGCCCAATGCCCTGGGGAGACCAACTGATTTGTCTAAAGTTTTTAAGGGTGGCTTCCACACATGATTCAGATGAGGGAGCCTCTCTCTTTTTTTTTTGAGGAGAATGACAGAACATTAATTCTTATTCAATCTGAAATTTAGCAATATAACTTGTAGAAATAAAAGATTTTAAGATTCTCATTTATGTATACATATTTTATACATGAGAATTATTTTATATAATTGTCATATATTCTATTATATAATATGCTTCTCTTTACATAGAATATACCTAACACAATATATATTATGTTGTGCTATATATGATCTCTCTCACTCTGAATCCTTTTTAGGGTTATCTCATTACTTTTAAAAAATGTTATAAAAAGAATTTATAAGAAAAGATAAAGTTGTGTCCAGGTAATAAGGTTAAGACACCTAATATTTAATACCCAAGATTTTCTTAAACTAACTGAATAGAAGCAGAAAATTCATGGAGCCCACTCTGCCACGGGTTAGTTTAACACAGGCACTGCTGACATTTGGGAAGGATAATTATTTGCTAAGGGAGGCTGTCCAATGTATTACAGGGTATTTAGCAGCATCCCTGGCCTCTACCCACTAGATGCCAGTAATACCCCTAATCAAAAATGTCTCTTGACATTGCCAAAAGTCCCCTTGGGGACAAAACAGCTCTCTAGTTAAGAAACACTAGTTTTAACTACAAAACAAATACAACTGCCAGCTATATGATTCCATTGTGGAGTCATCTGTGATTAAAATAGAGTTACTTTTATATTTTAGTTCAAAATATATCAGGCTAGAAGTCAGGTAAATTAATTATACCAGTGTTTGTCTAGAGCTGAGCTGACCAATACAGTAGTTACTAGTGACATATCACTACTGAGCACTTAAATGCAGCTACTCCAAAGTGACATGTGCTGTAAGTATAAAATATGCACTTGATATGATAAAAATGTAGAATACCTGATTTTTATGTAAACTGAACTATTTTGGGTATACTTAGTGAAATATATTAAAATTAATTTCATCTGTGGTTACTAGAAAATTCTAAATTACATATCAGCTCACATTACATTTCTGTTGAATAGCACTGATCTATAAGCTTGAAATAACTTAGCAGTATTTTTTAATGAAATAAATTCTTAAGTCCATCAAGCCAAAAAGCTTTTGGAAAGTTTCCCACAGCCTTATTAAATTAGCTCAGTTCTGAGCATCATAACTCTTTATCATCATGTCTAAATGATTTTTCTGCTTTAAATACATTACTTCTATCCCAGTCCTTTATTTTCGATGTTTCACTTGGTTCTTTTCTTACTGCTGATTTATCTTCCTGCTGTTCTTTACCATTCTCCTGAACATGAGTTTCTTTCATACACTCAGGATCTTTACTAGTGGGATGTTGAGATGCTGCAGCATCCATCATGCGTAGAAAATTGTAAGCAGGAAGAGGAGGCTTCCATTCCTGAGCAGGTAAAATTGCTAGAAAAAGATGCAATCAAGGGTTAAAGATGAACATACCAAAATAATCATCCCATAAATTATACTAGAAAATGTTTTATTTTGAAAAATATATTAGTAGAAAGGAAGATTTTATCAGTTTTATTAAGCAAAACTATTTTTTTACTACATTGTTTAAGAAATGATATATTTTTCATTACTAGACATTTTTATTTTTTATATTTGCAAGCTATTATATTCTAAATAAAAGTTAGTGTAAATAGGGAGAAAACAAAAAGTCTCCCTGACAATTAATCCTGTTGAGGTTTCAGAAAATAGCAATATGTTCATGATATTAACACACAAACAGGTACAAGTTAAAATGAAAAAGTTTCCTGCTTCCCTCCCAACCGCTGTCTTTATTCCAAAGAACTAGAACTGTTTCTCATGGATCACTCCAAAAGAAAAGGTTTTGGCCCATACATATTTACTTATTATATAGACAAGTATTCCCTGACATTTTAAAGCATTTTCTATTTTTGATGCTTTTAACATCTTTTTCACACACTTTGTGAAATCAAGTTCATTTTATAAAAATAATTATAGACAGGGATAATTAAAAATTGCTATGGAATCAACTGTACCATAAACAGACAAGGATTAAATAATTTCTTAGGTGGACATCATAGCAGTGAATCTTAACATTGTTTTAAAACATTGGTCATCGAAAGAAGAAAACTGATTTAAGTTTAATATCATGACAATATATATTTTAACATTTGTATGAGATAAAACAGCTAACTTTTCTCCATTTAGTAGACAGATGTTACAAAGTAACTTCTGAGTTTGGTTGCCCATTTAAAATACTATTTTGAGAAATAAATGATATAAGGAAATATGCCAAGTAAACTTTCTAAAAATAAATTTCAGTGAATGTTACATGAAAAAATAAGCAGTTACATGAAAAAATATAAATGCCCATAAAATACAAACTTAAGCATCTCTCATAAATCAAATAAACATGTTTAAAGCTTAGGAAATTCATTTAAATTCTATTTTCCTAGAGTGGATTAAAGTTGCACAAATACATATGAAGTGTATCTATACTCACTGATATATAATTTCTTTACTCACTCAATTACATGAAATCCTAGTACCTGAAACATCAGCCGGATATTAAATTTAGGCTACCCCTGTAATTGATTATTCAAATGACTGTTGCCATGTTAGCAGATATAAGTAATAAACAGATATAATATTTTCTTGCATATAATGATTAGGAAGTAAGAACACCTTCGTAGTTTGCGATATGCAAATAAAGTATCTTTAAGAAAATTTCAACTTAAAGCATTGGACATATTTAGCAGTATTTTACAAAGTAAACACTGAAGCTTAGCGGACTGAAATGAGAACAAAATGCCTAAAATTGAGTATCACAATTTTGCTAATTATTTGCTGAAGGAATACTACAAAGGTCTTAACATTTTCGCCTGTAAATAAAACTGCACTCTCATTATGTATGAGTAATAGATACATTATTATCAAATTAGAAGAGCTAGTAATAGCTAACTTTTATTGAGCATTTATTATATACCAGGCATTATCCATTTAGTCCTTATAACCCCATGAAGTAAGGACAATTATTATCCCAATTTTATAGATGAGAAAACTGAGGCCTGAAAAGGTCAGAGAACTTGACCAAAGTTAAGTGTAAATTTCAAATAAAAGTAGCTAGTGGTCTCAGTAACACAGAAATTAAGATATGCACCAAGCAAGGTGAGGCAGGCACCTGTGGCACCTTTACAGATTCAGGCAATTCCAAGGGTAGCGGCAAGACCCCGTCTCAGACCCAGCTCCCAGAGAGTGGTGAGAGCAGACCCGGCCTGCACAGAAGACAGGACCCAACACAGACAACACAGCTCAGTTTGCTTCTTCCTGCTGCAGGGGAAACTTAAGAATAGGAGCATTGATACAAAGAAATAATGGAAACCCCTCAAAGAGTAAGTTGGCAAAGGCATTCATGAACAAAATTGCAATGGGAGATATACCAACCAGTCTCTCAGGAAACTCAGCAGAATAACTCTGTTTCCTCTTGGTAGTGGCTTGAATTGAGGAATCAAAGCTCCTCAGGTATGCTCTTTGTAGGAAAGGATCTTCACATGAATTGTGATAATACTTTAAATTTTACACTTTACAAAGTGTATTTGCATACATAATTTTATCTGATTTTTTAAAAATAAATTTGTGACATAGTCACAGTAGGAATTATTAATCTCATTTTACAGTTGTAGAGAAAAAATTGAAGGAGACTTGCTTAGAGACACACAGTAATTAAGGAGGCTGGATCATAAGCTCAGGTTTGTGTGTCTTTAAACATCACTTTTTTTTTTTTAAAGCAATTCCATGCCCTAGCTACATATAATCCTATATGACTTAGTCAGAGTCCATGGGGCCCCAGTGTCACAGCAGGTATAAAATGACAACACTTCTCTGCTTCTATACAATAGCAATGCTGACAGAAGAGTGAACACAGACTACCTGAAGAGTTCAAGAGCTACAACTGAAAGGACTCCTATATGTGTGGCTACAGTGAGTAAGTCAGAGAGGAGTAATAACCACATACAGGTCTCCTTCCAGATTATAACTTCAACAAGATAGTCAATTAATTAATCTTTTATATTTCCTAGGAAAATATTAAAACTAAAGTTATCTCAGAAAATTGACTTTAAAATATCATCTAAAACTACCCAGAATAGCTAAATAATCATGGAAATGAAGAACAAAGTAGGAGAAATCAAATCTCCCAATTTAAAACCTACTACAAAGCTGTAGTATTGAAGACAGTATGGCACTGTCAGAAGGCACCTAAGTATCAGATATTAAACATGTACATCAATGTTCAGAGCACCATCATTCATAATAGCCAAAAAGTGGATACAACCCAAATGCCCATCAACAGATTAATGGAGAAACAAAATGTGGTATATCCATACAATTAAATATTTCATTCATAAAAAGGAATGGACTACTGATTCATATATAACATGGATGATTCTTGAAAACCTATGCTAAGAGATTTCACTTATATGAAATGTCCAGATTAGGTAAATCCATAAAGACAAAAAAGTGGTTGTTAAGGGGGTGGAAGGAGACAAGAATGGGGAGTGACTGCTAATGGGCATGGGATTTCATTTTGGAGTAATAAAAATATTACAGAATTCAGTAGTAGTAATGGTTGTACAGCCTTGTGAATGTAATAAAAACCATCAAATTGTAGGCTTTAAAGGGGGAGTTTTATGGTATGTAAATTATATTTCAATATAAAAATACTACCTATAGGCTACTGAGACATAATAATTAAGTTAAACTGCCTAATATAACAGAAATGAAGCAGACCACTTGGGAAAAACAGGTATGTTACAATGGCTGACAGTTCAAAAAATAAATTCAAGTATCTAGTTAAATATAAACAAATATACATAATGGTATATTCATGCTATGCATGCTGACAATATATATTTTAACATATAGTCTTTGAGAGACTAGATAACACTGGAGTTTGTATACCAGAATGTGTGTATATGTATGCATATATATTCACATACATAGACATACCCCTTATTTTAGGATTCTATCATGGAAGAGTGCTAAAATATTATTGTAATATAGTTTATCTGGTATATAATAACAAAATCTTTGGGTAGTACCTTAGGAAACCTTTAATTACCTCAAATTTCACACTATTTCCTCAATTTACTAATGATCTAGGTTATTAAAAATTTAAATCATAGCAACAATCCTGTTGTTGTCATAACTGTATATAAATTAACATATACAGGGCAAATACCTAAGACTCTGTCCCTTCCCATGTAACAGGTGCACTGAGACAAAGAAATGAAAGAACAGATCAAATGAAATGACCCAAATGAAAGAACAGATCAAAACTCCAAAAATAGAACTAAGCAATGAAGAGATAGCCAATCTATCAGATGCACAGTTCAAAACACTGGTAATCAGGATGTTCACAGAAATGGTTGAGTATGGTAGCAAAATGGAGGGAAAAATGAAGACTATGCAAAGTGAAATAAAGAAAAATACACAGGGAACCGACAGTGAAGGAAAGGAAACCACGACTCAAATCAATGATTTGGAGCAAAAGGAAGAGAGAAACATTCAACCAGAACAGAAAGAAGAAACGAGAATTCAAAAAAATGAGGAGAGGCCTAGGAACCTCTGGGACAACTTTAAACAATCCAACATCCAAATCATAGGGGTGCCAGAAGGAGAAGGGGAAGAATAAGAAATTGAAAACTTATTTGAATCAATAATGAAGAACTTCCCCAATCTGGTGAAGGAAATAGACTGCCAGGAGATCCAGGAAGCTCAGAGAGTCCCAAAGAAGTTGGACCCAAGGAAGCCCACACCAAGGCACATCATAATTACATTACGCAAGATTAAAGATAAGGAGAGAATCTTAAAAGCAGCAAAAGAAAAGGAGACAGTTACTTACAAAGGGGTTCTCATAAAACTATCAGCTGATTTCTCAAAAGAAACTTTGCAGGCAAGAAGGGGCTGGCAAGAAGTATTCAAAGTCATGAAAGGCAAGGACCTACATCCAAGATTACTCTATGCAGCAAAGCTATCATTTAGAATGGAAGGGCAGATAAAGTGTTTCCCAGATAAGGTAAAGTTAAAGGAGTTCATTGTCACCAAGCCCTTATTATATGAAATGTTAAAGAGACTTACCTAAGAAAAAGAAAAAGATCAAAAACTATGAACAGTAAAACAACAAACTCACAACTATCAACAACTGAACCTGAAAACAAAAACAAAAACAAACTAAGCAAACAATTAGAACAGGAACAGAATCACAGAAATGGAGTTCAGAGGGGAGGGTAAAGGGCGTGAATGAGGGAAAAGGTACAGGAAATACAAATAGCAGATACAAAATAGACAGGGAGATGTTAAGAATGGTATAGGAAATGGAGAAACCAAAGGTAAAAAACCAGAACATATATATCTATAGCACAAGTATGAATCCACATTTTAGAAAAGTATAAACTATTGCATGTCAAAAACCAGCATCGTAAATCCTAAGCCAACATCTATTTTCTTGTGGTCCAAAATTCCAGCTCTAGAATGTAAGAAATCTAGGTTGGAATCCAAGCTTGCTCATTTACTAGTTATATATATGACTTTTAACTAGGTATTTAACTCTTTTACAGGTAATAACACTTCATATGACTTGTGAGAATTAAATGAGATAAGATAATGCATTTAAATAACTTAGCATTGTGCTAGACACCTAGTAAGCACTCAATAAATGTTAGCAATTATTATTAAATTTAATACAATGGCACTTATTTTTTTGTGGGCAATAATACCTACCACTTAGGAGACTGTCCCATGCTATCAGCATATTAATAATATTCAGGATACTTATAAACATTACAATTCAACTAATTCTAGTGTTCATCAGCTATTGCCTGGGTTTAAAAATATGTGAAACAAAATCCATAATGGTGTACATTAAATAAAAGAGTAAACTTACTGATATGACTTTCTAATCCTGCTTCTAATTTCTGAAGCCACAATAAAAGGTTTTGTTCAGTTATAGCCTTGTCTGAAGGATATGCAAACACTTGGCCACCTGAGTGCAGATTCACCACAACAAGAACAGGAAGGGGCGGCAGAGCATCAAAATAGGCCTGCAGTATTCTTCTCCCTATAGGGGTGTTTTTTCTAGGAAAGACAACAATTCAACATGCTATTAAAATTTCTTTCTATAACATAATAATTAAAATAATAATTTGTAAAATATTACCCTTCAAATATAGTATCAATCCAGTAAATTTATTTGATGAAAAGATGTCCTAAAAACCATAAGGTCTATAACTATGTTATTAGTAATCAGAGTCTTAAAAATTTTCTTTTAACATGGGGCACTGTTTTCTTCCTTTTTTTTTTTTTTTTTACAGAGAAGGGACAGGAGGGAGAAAGATAGAGAAACATCCAATGGTTGCCTCTTGTGATTGGTTGCCTCTCTTAAACCCCCTGACCCCCGACTGGGGACCAAACCCACAGCCTAGGCATGTGCTCTGACCGGAATCACCAGTGACCTTGCACTTTTTAGGACAATGCCCAATCAACTGAGCCACACCAGTCAGGAACTGAGAGTTTTAATAAAAAACAGGCTTAGTCCAAAGATTTGACAGCTTCAACTTAACATAATCAATAGGTTCCTTCTAAAGTTTAGCCAAGTATTGCATCACATGTTGGTTCAAAAATTAAATGGTCACAAACTATAAAAATAACAGAATACTTATAATAAATACTTCTTTTTCCCAATAAAGTGTCCTTCCTCGGGAAAAAAGGAGAAAAGATTAATTTCAAACAAAAAAAATTTTAAATTATGTTTATAAAAGGAAACCTTAAGTTTAAGATATTTAGTTTTCCTAATACAGAACATTCCACATTATAAAAAAATACGATTTTACTCTAAGATACCTATAAGGATAATTACCTGAAATAATTTGTCTCAAGCAGTAGGTTATACTGTTAGAGAACTCTTCAACAGCAAAAATATACACTGCCCCATTCTTGTAATTTTTCAAATGAGTCCAAAATATCTTTTATCTGATGAATTTGAAAAATGGACAGTGTGTATATATGTGAACTATGTTCACAGACATTTAATGCTACACATATCATACATCTAGGACACATACCAGGAAATACTGTTTGTGAATGCACTGAAAACCTTTGTAACATTTGGGCTGCATTTCAAAATTACAGAAGTACAAAAAAAGACACTGAAGAAAAATGCCAAAATACAACTATGGTCATATTTCTGTATTTGCCAAAATTTTCTTAATGGACATTAATTATTTTTAAAATCAGGAACATTTTTACTTTTAAAAATTTACTGTATAACAACAAAAGCGAAGGCAACAAAAGCAAAAATTAACAAGTGGGACTACATCAAACTAAAAACTTCTGTACAGCAAAGGAAGCCAACAAAATGAAATGGAAACCTTCAGGATTGGAGAAAATATTTGCAAATCACATCTGATAAAGAATTAAAATCCGAAATAACTGAAGAACTCATACAACTCAATTAAAAAAAAAAACCCCAAACAATCCAATGTAATAATGGGCAGAATTGAGTAAACATTTTTGCAAAGAAAACATACAAAGGCCAAAAGGTACATGAAAAGATGTTCAACATCACGAATCATCAGAGAAATGAAAATCAAAACCATGATGAGCTATGACCTTCCACCAGTTAGAATGGCTATTATCAAAAAGAGATGACAAGTGTTGGTGAGGACACAGAGAAAAGGGAACCCTTGTGCAGCTGGTAGGAATGTAAATCAGTGCAATGGCAAACAACATGAAGGTTTCTCAAATAATTAAAAATAGATTCATTTAAAAAGTAGAACTACCCTCTGATCCAGCAAGCAATCCAATTCTGGGTATATATCAAAAATAAATAAATGAAACCATGGTATCAAAGACACATCTGCACTCCATAATCATTGCAACATTATGAATGAATAAAATGTGTGTTATGTATATGAGTACATACACATATACACATACACACAGTGTAATACTATTCAGCCATGAGAAAAAAGGAAATCCTGCCATTTGCTATAACATGGATGGAACTTGAGGGCTCTATGCTAAATGAAATAAATTAGACAAAGACAAATACTATATAGTATCACTTATATGTGGAATCATAAAAAAAAGTCAAACCCATAGAAACAGTAGAAAAGTGGTTGCTAGGGACTAGGGTTTGGGAAAATAGGGAGAGGTTGGGAAAAGGGTAAAATGCTCAGCTGTAATAAGGTCTGAAGATCTTATTACATAGTAATAATACTTCCTTTACCTTTTATATATTAAAGTATATATACTTTAAAGGAAGTTAAACAGATTTTAACAGATTTATACTTACAGATATACTTACAAAATATACTTACAGATTTAACCAGCAAGGGATAACAGAATCCAAGTGTTTCTCTTTTACCACTGTCAATACTGCTTTCTGATACAGAGGGTTTATGCTGCCATCGCTGAATAAAATAAGTAATGGTTTCTGAAGCCTTAAATAAGTGGGAAGGTTTTCCACAGTGATTTCTGGCTGTTAAAAAAAGTAGCAAGGAGAGTGATGATGCATAAAATAGAAAATAATGTTCAAATCTCTCTTACAATTTAGTTTTAAAATGTAATTCAAACATTTGCCACTTAAGTGATTTGCTATTATGACTAATACCTATAAATCTCAAAAGTATTTTTTACTTAAGCCCACTTTATCTTAACAAAGTTATTTTCAAAATAAAACTACTAATAGAATTTGAAAATAACTTAAAAGGAGTATCCTATTTTACAAGGATGTAACACGTCAAATAATTTCTTATGCTAAAATCTGGACCAGACTAGACCATGAACACATGACAAACAAAACTCTTGTTACATTTTTCTCTAACATAAAATGTTTGAAAAAATATAAACTGAGATTTAAAGGTATACTCTTTTAACATTTATAATTACTTAAAAATAAGATCTTTATTTTAATATTATGGCTTTTTAGAATAATTAAAATAATCAAAAAATATACTAAAATAAAAAGCAGTCCCTGGCTGGTGTGGCTCAGCAGATTGAGTGCTGGCCTGCAAACCAAACGGTCGCCCATTCGATTCCCAGTCAGGGGCCTGGGTTTTGGGCTGGGTCTCCAGGAGGAAGCACAGCCTAGGCAACCACACATTGATGTGTTTCTCCCTCTCTTTCTCCCTTCCTTCCCCTCTGTCTAAAAATATATAGAATCTTTAAGAAAAAAAAAGCAGTCTCATTTATTTTGGGTTTAAAATAACAAAAAAATTTATAAGATGAAATCTACCCTCTTATTCTTTATTAAATAAAAGAGAATAACTATTTTTATGTATTTTTAAAGCACAATGTGTTGTTAATAAGAATTGGAAAAAGCATCAGTGTTAACATATTTAGCATTAAAAATAGCAATGACTTAAAATATTAATGCCTATACTACTTTTGATATTTAGTTTCACATCTATTATATCAACATCTGGATTTACCTGTGAGCTAGAGCAAATCATTCTCTATCAGATAAATAATGACTCGCTGACAAATGAGGACACCAATGAAGAAAAACTGACTTGCTAATCACACAGCTAATAGGAAGTATTGAAAGAGCTCATAGGAAGAATTGAAACTAGTACCCAGGCACCCTGCTCATCAGCTGCACATTTCATTAGATCACACTAGAAATCTAATGAACAGTTTTATATTTTTCATAGTGCCAACCACTTCTGAACACAGTAATGGTCCATCATCCTCAAACGTCAAAATCTGGTATATACTTTTCATATTGTTTTCGAAGCCACTTTCCTCTGCCAATTCTCATTTTCTTCAAATTCTTTACGTTTCACACTCAAAATCCTTTCACACACCTTTCCCTTCCATGACCCTAGTCTTAGGTCCCCTCTCCAAATTCCCCTACCTTGTCTTCTTGTGTTAACTATCATTTTTAATCTTCTACATGAGTTATATGCCCTTCCTAGAACTGACAGATCTTATTAAGCCAGCAGACCTCACTCTGGACAGATTCAAACGTCAGGTGAGATGAAGCCACCATTGCTCAACACAAACATTTATTGAGAACTACAAAGTTCAAGGTGTTGTGCTGGGTACTGAATCAAAAAGAAATAAGGCACTTTCCCTGCCCTCAGAGCTCATACTCTAGATGAAGAGATAGGTATACAGACCACTGCGATGCAATAAAAAATTTAATGTATGACAACAAGGAAACCTAGTGGCTCAAAATTAAGCTAAAAAACAAGGTAGGAGAGCTTGTAGATGTTTTTAGGAAGTGATTTGATATGGGCCTTGGGTAAGAAATAAGATCTTAACAGATTGAGGTGTGTGCAAGGGCAGGGATTCCAAATATAGGAAGCATCATGAGGATGGGCAGAGGGGTGTTAAGGCATATACAATATCTGAGGAACTGTGAGAATCAAGTATGTCAGACTTAGGTATGCAAGAGGCAAATGCAGCTGTCAGACCAGATGGGGGAAATGTCATAGGTTTTCTAGCTTCTGGGAATACTGAGAATATTTTAAATCAATGAGTGACATGGTTAGGCCTGTTTTAGGATGAGTGACTGGAATATGAATTTATGAAAGACAGACCAGTGATGGGCTCTGCTCTTCCCTATGTCTGTCAGGAAAGAAAAACAGAGAGTTCTGTGAGTTTAGAAGTAAGATTAGAAACTCAGATTTAGGAATTATCAGCTGGCATAATGATGGTGGAATTTATGGGTATAAATAAAATTTCCCAAAGAATGAACAATGGTTGAGCTTGTACTTCTAGAGTGGCCAGAGGGTTGAAGGAGTATATGGTCAGGACTGAATTGCAAAAGCCAGAGGAAAAGATAATTTTCAAAAGGAATAGCATAGTGAACAGTTTGGGGTATTTTCCCATCCCTCTTTACCCTCCTCTCTCTCTTTTTTTTCACAGTCAACAGTTTTGATTGTTACTGAGAGGCTAAGGAGAAACAGAAAAGGTCATCAAATGTGGTACCTGGAAGGTGACTTTTAGCTCTTTGAGTATATATGAGGCTATAATTGTGTGGGTTCTAGTATTCTTTTTTTAAATATATTTTATTGATTATGCTTTACAGTTGTCCAAGGTTTTCCCCCTTTGCCCACCTCCACCCAGTATTCCCCATTCCGTCTGGCAATCCCCATACCACTGTTCATGTCCATGGGTCATGCGTATAAGATCTTTGGCTTCTCCATTTCCTATGTTGTTCTTAATATCCTCTGTCTACTCTGTAAGTACCAATTTGTACTCCTTAATCCCTGTACCTTTTCCCCCGTTCTCCCCTTTCCTCCTCCAAACTAATAACCTTCCAAATGATCTCCATCTCTATGATTCTCTTTCTTTTGTGGTTGGTTGCTTAGTTTGTGTTTTGAATTCAACTGTTGATAGTTGTGAATTTATTGCCATTTTAGTGTTCATAGTTTTGATCTTTTTCTTAAATAAGTCCCTTTAATATTTCATATATAATGGCTTGGTGATGATGAACTCCTTTAGCTTTACATTGTCTGGAAAGTACTTTATCTGTCCTTCAATTCTAAATGATAGCTTTGCTAGGTAAAGCAATCTTGCCTGTAGGTCCCTGCTTTTCATGACTTTGAGTATTTCTTGCCTGCACTTTCTTTTGAGAAATCAGTTGACAATCTCATGGGAACCCCCTGGTAAGTGACTAACTGCTTTTCTCTTGCTGCTTTTAAGATTCTCTGTTTATTTTTAACCTTTGGCATTTTATTTATGATGTATCTTAGAGTGGGCCTCTTTGCATCCATCTTGTTTGGAATTCTCTGTGCTCCTGGACTTGTATGTCTATTTCCTTCACCAAATTAGGGAAATTTTCATTATTTTTTCAAATAAGTTTTCAATTTCTTGCTCTTTCTCTTCTGCTTCCAGCACCCCTATGATTTAAATGTTGGTACATTTGAAGTTGTTTCAGAGGCTCCTTAGCCTACCCCCATTTCTTTGGATTCTTTTTTCTTGCTGTTCTGACTGAATATATTTTTCTTCCTTATGTTCCAAAGCATTGATTTGATTCTCAACTTCATCTACTCTACTGTCAGTAATGTTAATTTTTCTTTATTTCACTTAGTGTAACCTTCATTTCTGCCTAGGTCTTTTTTATGCTATTGAAGTACCCAATGAGTTCCTTGAGCATTCTAATAACCAGTGTTTTGCACTCTGCATCTGGTAGATTGATTATCTCCTTTCTGTTTAGTTCTTTTTCTGGAGTTTTGTTCTGTTCTTTCGTTTGGGCTATATTTCTTTGTCTCCTCATTCTGGCAGCCTCTTTTGTCTGTTTCTATGTATTAGGTAGAGATGCTTTGACTCCCTGTCTTAGTAGCGTGGCCTATTGTGGAAAAACACACTAGTAAATTGGATGGGGTGGAGCCTTGGGCAAAGGCCAGGGAGGGGCAACCCATGTGAACCAGGTTGATGGAGCCTCCAATATAGTATTGCAACTCTGTGGCTGTGTGTGGGAGGGCCCAGAAAATGGACAATGGTCACTGCCTGGCCTTTAGAGTTTTTTCTGGGAGGAAGCTGACCCCCAGCACTTGCCCCAGTGCAGACACTTCAGTTTCTCCCTGTATGCCATTGGCACTGTTCCCACCACTGCCCCAGTGCTGGAGCCCAGAGGGAGTGAGTCTGCCTAAGTCCCAAGTCTGTTGAGGCCCTTTAAGAGGAGACACCTGAGAATCCCGCAGTTTCTGCTGCTGTCCCAACCTCCATTGGTTTTTACAGCCAGAAGTTATGGGGACTTATCTTCCTGGTACTGGAACCCTGGGCTGGGTGGTCTGGTATGTGGCTGGCATCCCTTGCTCCCAAGGTATCTCTCCTGATTTTTATCCACCACATGTGGGTGTGGGACCTCACATTCTGCATCTCCACATTTCCGCCCCTCCCACCCATCTGGATGAATGTGACTTCTTTAAATCCTTGGTTGTCAGACCTCCATATAGCTTGATTTTCTGACAACTCTGGGTGATAGTTGTTTTGTAGTTTAGTTGTAATTTTTGCTATGGTTGTGCAAGGAGGTGAGCCGTGTTTACCTATGTCTCCATCTTGACTGGAAGTCTTTGGTATTCTTATTCATAGTAAATGCATAATGTATGGCAGAAATGTACCAAACGTACTTCCTAACAACTAGTTCTAAGTCTGTCAGCCTGGGATCTATCACTGCTCATATAGTTACTGTGTATTTCACATTTGCGCATTATTTATCTGGATTCATTTTCATCAGGTTCACTAAAATAAAAATTTGATGCCATATAAAAAACATTTACCCTCTGGTTATCCACTGTTCCCTATTCAAATGAAGAAACCAAAGTCTCTCTAGTACCTAAGTGTAGGCCAGAAGATGAGCTTACTTCTTGCTAGCTATTGCAGTTACTACATGCTTTAGACTTAAATCTCCAACACAGAGAATATTTAGGAAATTTAATAACCACTTGAGGGTTTTTTAATTTATGGAAAGGTCATAAACTAAAAGCAAAATAATTTTTTATTATAGCTGTTCAGTATTTATTAGAACACTGAAAACCAAAACATTGTACTGAAACACTGCCACAATGCTTATCATGTTTGCCTAAACTATAAACAGATTTTGATAGTTAAGCTTGCCCTAAATTTCTCAGCCTTAACAATTATAACCTTAAAGAAAAAAAAGATACTCATTTTGATCTATCGGTTAGGAAAAAAGAGCAAAATGATACATACCTTCTGTTGGGCAAAATAGGAATAAGTATCAGAAGCCTTTAAATTGTGCCTATGCTTTGGAATAAGAATTCAAATTCTATGAATTCACCGTAAGTATATAATCATAGAAACACCTAAAGATTATCTATAAGGACGGTCCCTGAGTAAACCAATACAAACTAAAGACAACTTAAATATTCATCAACAAAAAACTAAATAAATTGTGCTTTTTTAGTACAACATAATATTACGCAGATATTAAAAAAATATGCCTGTCCTGGCTGGTGTGGCTCAGTGGATTGAGTGCCAGCCTACAAAATGAAAGGTCCCCAGTCCAATTCTCAGTCAGGGCACATGCCTGGGTTGCCTGCTGGGTCCCCAGCTGGGGCGTGCAAGAGGCAACCAATTGATGTATCTCTTGCATGTTGATGTTTCTCTCCCTCTCCTTCTCTCTCCTTTCCACTCTCTCTAAAAATAAATAAATAAAATCTTTAAAAATATAAAAATAAAAAAAATGCCTAACTTTACTTCTTGATGAAAATATTCCTTAATATATAAAAAGACAAACATATAAACACATGGAATTTTTTAAAGTTTGGGATAATATATCCCCAAATTTAAACTTGATTAAAGAGGTTGATTTTAATTTTCTTCTTTATAGTTTTCTATATTATCTGGAAAAAAATAATGAAAGGCTCATAATAATTCCAACAATATCACATGATATCTTTGCTAAAACATATTTATTTAATAACATGTTACTTTAGTAAGTAATTTAGAAAACTACATCCTGAAAATATTAATAACTTGATTAATTATAACCTTTAACATTAATTGGAGGACAGCGGTGAGGAACAGAACCAAGGTGATAAAAGATTTAATAATTAAAACCAGTTATTTATTTGAACCTAAAATAAATTGTGCCTATGCTAATGTCATTTAGATCATCATGACAACATAAAAACAAGATACTTGTTCAGTATTTATATCTGATTAAAGTGCTCCTTATGTTAACTTATACTTGTAGAAAAGCATAAATTTATAGTAATCTAGTTGTGTTTAATATAAATGCAAAACAAGTGAAATCAAGAAATGCAGATTACATCTTTTGCGCCCCCGAGTCTACTATTATACAAAGCATTGAAAAAGGCCTTTCATAAATCAGTATTTTGTTCTAAAACTGAATAAATAATAAAAACCATTTGTTGAATATTTACCAGGGGCCAAACACTGAACACAAATCTCATTTATTCCTTATAATAACACTCTGCAGGTGCTACTATCACCGACATGTGAAAACTGAGACAACAAGAAGTTAACGGACTGCCAGTAAGAAATCCAGCAAGGATCTAAAGCTGAGCAGACTCTCTGGAATCCATGTGCTTTATACCAAGTTTTAGCCTAGATTAAGTATTTCAACTGGCTGTCAGCCACACTAGTCTCAGCAATAAAAATAATCCAAAGACATGTAAACTTTTGGCAGTGGACTAGAGAGGCTTTATGCATAATGAGTAAACAATAAAATAGAGCAACCCAATGAATCTTCAGCTCACAAACACCATGCCCTATGGCAACAATAGCTGGAAAGTCACATATTAAAATAAACGACCTTTAACTGATCTAGACATCCTTATTTCAAATAACATCCGTATGTTAAAGTATACTGACAAATATACTCACAAATGTTTCCAGTAATGCATTTGTTATTATTTGAACTATTTCTTGCATGTGGGTGTTGGCTAACGGAATGCTCTCTACTTTGCCTTCTTTGTGTCTGGCAAGCAGCAGGGCTGGAAGAGTTGCAGTATATTTATTTGACCTATGGAGAAATATATATTTAAAAGTTTCAACTAAACTGTAGCAAGGTGTCAAAAACATAAACAATGAGGCCAAGAGGTCACATGAAAGGCAACAAATGGGAAGCCCTATATTACCAAGGAAAAAAAGAACTCAATTTACAGACAAATCTATCTTCTATAGCCTTGACGACTTAGATTAAAAAAAAGAAACAGATAATAATCTACCCAGATTTTTTTTTTCCTAGACAATTTACTCATCATGAAAATGTCTAAATAGGATTAGGAACATAGTAAATAGTTCTCAGCTTTCAGGACTATTTGCCATACTCCTGAGCAAGGAGACAGGTATTTATTAGAAATCTACTATTTGCAGGCACTATGCCAAGTGCTTTTAGTTACATTTTCACTTAACCCTCACAACAGCCCTATAAAGTAGCCACTATCACCTCCATCTTACAGAAGAGGAAATCAGAACTCAGAGAGTGGTAAATAGCAGAGAGAGAATTCAAACTGAGGTATTCCAGATACGGTCTGTGCTTCCTTCACTGAAACAGAGCCCAAACCTGCTCGCTCCTGCCACTTCTTTTGCTAACTAAACCTAAAAGAAAAATCACTAAGTCAAACAGAAAAAAATGCTTTGTGTGAAAAAACCAGTGATACAGTCACATTCATACTGTGTAAAAACTTAATTCATGTTAGAACAAAGTATAGACATTATAACAATATAAGCATTGGTAGAGAGATCAGTCTTCAGATTACCTGCAAAACCCTTTGGTTGACCAGTGGTTTACAGTTAAACAAAACACACCCTGAAAATGACTGGTTTTGCTTTTTGGGCCATAGTTAAATGCACAAAGACAGCAGAGAAGAAGATAGTGGGTGACAGTAATGCACCAGGTAAACAGGTCTCATATTTCCTAAAGATCTGGAGTTCAGTACTTTTAAAAAATTACTGATTTCATGGATAGAACAGGGCTTGATCATGAAGAGCATATGTCACTAGAGTTCAGCATAAAAAATTTAAGCTCAGAAATCACAATAACAAATACTATAGTCAGAAGTTAAGAAAGACAAACCACTGTGTTTAACTTCACTTGCACCTGAAAATGAGTCATTATGCAGAATGTGATAATCCCCAAATTTTCAGTTCAGTCCTTCATTCTGCAACAGCTGAAATACTTGGTAGTTCACAAGGGCCCAAAATTCTACAAATAGAGCAACTTAGGAGGCTTTAAAAAGCCAGTATTAAAGTGTATGTTAACAGTAATTTAAAATTAGGTAGAACTATCAGATATAGTTGCATCTACTAAAACTGTGGGAGAAACCTGTAAAGACTTTGATTTTTATATATATCGGTGACAAATCAAAACCTAGACACCCAAGAAGTAAAATCCTCCCTCACCTCCCAAAATTTGACAACTCCAAACAATCAAAATTGCAGGTAACTGAACCTAAAAAGTTCTTTATAGGAAGATGAAATAATATGAATCCATGGTTTCCCCTTTGGGGAACTAGCCTAAAGTAAAAGAATATCTAAAAATTCTAAATAGCCAGGTGGTACTTCCCATATCTTCCTAGAGTCAAATTAAAAATTTTTATGTTGCTGCCCTTTCTTCTTTGTCAACTGTGTAAAGACAAGCAACATATAATTTTGCAAGCTTCTCCCTCATTAAAATTAGAACACCAATAAACTTACAGTATTGAAACATTTTCTTCAGAATAAATTCCAGTGATAACATATCCTTTAAGGAATTTTACTGCTCCAGTGAAATCTTCTTTTGCTAAAAATACATAGGCAAGACAAAAAAATGAAACCTTTAAAATTATGTGTGCTATTCAACTGATGAACAGATTTATAAATGACAGTGATTTATTATTAATTATAAAGATAAATATTTGAGTGCAAGCCTTATATAACTTAGTAGTTCCAAAATAAATCTGTATTCTTTTAATGACATTTGACTATTACAGAAATGTAAATTGAATAATGCAACTTAGGTTCTCTAAACAAATATACTCTAAATTGATAAGATTTATAGCACTCTAATCGTACAGATTTACTGCATAAATATTTTTTGCTTTTTTTCAAAACACTCCGAGGGCAGAGTAAATGGGGACAGCTATCCTATATGTAGCCTGGAAAGAGAAGCAAATATGTGAAATGACAGACACATTATAATCACACAATCTAAAAGAACCTATTTGCATAGACAATAATAGAAGACTGGAAATTCTAGTCCTCTAACAGAGTCTGTGTTAGGGTTCTACAATTAGGGAGGATTTGTGTCTATTTTTTTATTTCCTGTATTTTCTGTAATCTGTTTTTGTTACTTTTGAGTCTTGATTAATTTATTTTTTCTCATGTTAGGCTACAGATATTCAAAATTAAAGATATTATGGCTAAAGGTTTCTGAATACATTTTCATATATAATAGCATATTCTGGATCATGTTAATGATCATCTGATAACCAAGAAGCAAGTCTCAATTAAAAAGTTGTAGACTAATGAGAAAAGAGCTGAGGTGGACTTACATGAATGACATATTCTTGCCAAATGGAAGCCAAATGATAGCTCAGCTTTGAAAGATTCATAGTAATTTAAATAAATACAAAGCAACAATGGAAGATTTGAATCATGAAGTACCTAGCAGGCTGGGCATGCTGAACCCAAAAGATCTGTACCTTAGCACACAGCACTATTTTCAGGATGTAAGCATCAACACTGTTAACATCAGTTAACCACAAGATTATTTGCTTTAAAAAGGATGCATATTTTCCACAAGATTTAGAAGCACTGTCTTGTAGGAAAGCAAAGTTACTGGAGTGGCACAGTCAGCCAGTAGGCACCATTGAGAGCTCATTTATAATCATGATTTTAATAAGAAACTAGTAATCCATGAAAACGTTTTCTTTAGCCTGTGCTACACTAAAGTAGACAAGATTTGTAAGAAAACTAACCAATTAGAAAGGACTGAGTGACTATACTTTCATTCTAAGAGAAAACAAGAATAAATTCTGGTCAGTAATTCATCATTACCTAAAACAATGACATAATGGAACTATTTCAGTTTCTTCTTTTCTTTTTTGAAAAGTAACACTGGGAAATTATACTAATGTTCCCATATAATTTCCACATACAGAGGCCTCTCTACTCATGAGTATGCTTCTTAAAAAGTTCTTCGTGAATTCATTTCTTCATAAATCCTAAACTTCTTGTGGGATTGGAGCATTTATGACTGCAGGCCTCACATATATATCCATTTCCATTAAATCAGAAAGTAAATTTTCCTCTAAATGTTTAAAACCAGACATATTCTCCTCCTTGGTGAAAAATGCATATATGTCAGAATATATGGCAACCCCAAATATAGGGAAATAATCAGTTATCTAAATAAAACATTTTAATCACTATAACTATATTTGAGATGTAACATTGTGGTAACTTATAATATTTAATTGTTTAACTATAAACATATTTTAATTGCATAAGAAATAATTTAGCAATGCTGTTTTTTTCCATTATTACATTTTACTTTAGTTATATTTTTTTACTTAATAGTTATATTTATACACATATCTATATATATACACACATACATACATACATACACACACACACACACACACACACACACGCAGACACACACACTTTTTTTTAACTCTGTCAGCAACAGTTGAGAAGGAAGAACACTCCAGTAAGTGAATGCACTCCTGACCACTAGATCTTGGTTTCTAAATTCAGTGTTCTTCTAAAAGGAACCTGGACTCCTTGGAGAAATGGCTGATTCCAGGAAGGGGGCTGGGAACATGTTGTGCCAAAAGGACATATTCAAACAACAATGGAGATGTGCCAGAAAGACATGAATCAGAATGAAGAGGCTCCCACTGACCAAACTTAAGCAAACTAATGATAGTAACTGATTATAAATCATTGAATAAAATAACTCAGGTGTCCACATGGATAAATGAGAAGGGAAAGCACTTACAGCTAACAAATGTAAAAAGAATAATGAAATTAGAAATTTTCCATTTGGGAACCATCATAATGATAGTTCTCTAAATCCTAAAACTGAAGTGTAAAATTATAATGAGAAACAGGACATTTACAGAGTTTTAAATTATATCCCCATAATAAGGTAATTATTATTTACAAAGGAAAAAAATAGCATCTTTCCACTAGAGGGACCTGGCAGATAGACAAGTGGACAAAAGAGGAATTTTGCCCTCATGGAATTCACATTATTTTAGTCTTCAAATCATTAGAATCTATATAAATAATAAATTAATATCGGATACAAAATTAGTGCTCAGAAAATGTCAGTAGTTAACTTTTATAAGTTAAAAAAAAAAAAGAAGAGGAGGAATGAATACCTGACTGAAAACACTGGGAATAATCAATCTAGTAAAATAATAAAAAAAAGCATCATATCCAGATCACATCAGCCTGGCACACCAGAACTACCTGTATATAACTTAACATTATTCTTTTTTTGAGATATAATTACATATAAATTATATCATTATTTGAATAGAAATGCAATCAAGTACATTGTTATATTGATCTTATGTGTATATAGATATATATACACACATATATACATAACAAATGAAAAATTCAACACATTTTTTCCACTGCTCAAAACAGTTTTTGAACTCATTGATTTTGATGACTTTTCATTTTTCTTTCATTTTTTTGTTTCACCCCTTTCACAATGGCAAAAATGTTGCCCTTTGAGGACATTTTCCATTAGAAGTTGCTTGGGGTGACTGAGTGAATAAGGAGGGTGCGCCATGGCAGTCATGCTGTTTTTTGGTCAATTACTGGTGAACACTAAGCGTGGTGTGGGCAGGTGTGTTTGTAAATAACCCATCATGAAATGGGCAAACACATCAAAAGAGTCTTCAAAACAATTCACTGAAGCTGAACGCAGGTTCTCACAACGCGAACTGGTACCCTGATACCGATGGGCTCCTAGAACAATGACATAGCGAGGGGGGCCTGTACTACAAGGAGCCCGCCCTCCAGAAGATAATTCCAGCTTTTTTGGGTGTCCCCTCTTGTAGTGTACGATTTATTTATATGAGGTTCCTAGAGTAGTCAAATTCATAGAGACAGAAAGTTGAGTGCTAGTTGCCAGGGGTTAGGGAAAATGTTGAGTTGTTTAATGGGTATAGCTTCAGTTTCGCAAGATGAAAAAATTCTGGTGATTAGCTGCACAGCAATGTAAACATACTTAACACTAGCTACCTATATACACTTAAAAATGGTTAATATGATAAATTTTATGTGTATTTTATCAGTTTTTTAAAAAGAAAAATATTCGAAGCAAAAAGACAATATAAATTAGGTAGAAAAACATAAATAAAGCAAGAAAATACAGGTGAATATTAACTGATAATGATAATAGAGGATTTCTATAGCTAAAAAGCAAAGGAAGAAATCTCAAAATCAATAAATTTGAAAACAATTTTAAATTGCTACATATAAAATTACTATTAAGCAAAGCCAAAAAGCAAACAACTAACTGTGGAAAAATAACTGGAAAAAAATGACAAAAGTTTAATGTCCTTAATATGTAAAAATGTCACAGTAATTCATTAGAGAAGCAATAAAACCCATTTTAAAAGATGAGTAATACATACAGTTTATAGAAGACAAAGTTATTCCCCTACTGGGAATCTATACCCATTAAAGAGTCTAAAATCTACATAAAAACTCATAAATAAAAATGCTGTTTACATACAGCAAAAATAAAAAAGGAAACAACAAATATTATTGTTAGTAGGTAGTTAAATACATTATGGTATATCTATCTAATCAAATATTATATAGTCATGATGTTTCTGAAGAATATTACTCACATGAAAAAATGCACCCATGTAATTTTAAACAAAAACAGCAAGAATCTAACTTGGATATATGTACTAGCCCAATTTCATTAAAATATATGTAAATATGCAATACATAGGTATATAGAAAAAGAGGGAAGAAATCATATTATATTTACAACTCTAATTATAGATTTTTATTTTTTCTTCAAACTCCTGTTTTCAAAATCCTCTATAATTTGAGTTCTCTGTAATTAAAAAAGACAGTAATTCTTTTTAAAAGTGAGTTTTTAAAAGTGAGTTTTTAACAAGTGGGTTTTTAACTATGTATTGTATAATTTAAAATTTCAATTCTACCTACCTGTTGTCATGGTTGGACTAAATAGTCCCAGTACTGACACACTAGAATGGGAGATAAGGTCTTTATATAACTCCCCACTTAAATATTCTTCTGCTTCTTGGACAGATGTTATGTTCACTGGACATGAAATCCTGTTGCTAGATGGACATATAATGATATTCAAAATTAATGTTTTAAAATACTTTTTGGCTTGTAAAAAAATTAAAATCCTGAACTTAGAAAAGACCATATGCCTCAGGATAAACATCCAACAAAATAAAGAAAAATACTATTCCAAACAAAGTCACCCTCACTAAACAAAATTCCTATCTCCCCCAAAATGATGGAATATAAATGAGCTCTACTCATCAGTGCTCACCCTAAGATCTCAATTCTAGTATCCTCCTTAATCCATTCAAAGTGTGTCAACATATGGTAATTAGAAGTTTTATAGACCTAAAAGTTTAATAATCTTAGGGTGAAGCTGAATACTTACAGCTGGATAAATTTTAGGAGATCTTCGGTTCCTAACATACCACCATAAGATACTGGGTCTTCACCTTCTTTGTACATCTTTACAACAGGAAATTCAGTGACATTTTGCTTATTACATATATCAGGCCAATCTGCACAGTTTATTCTAGTAAGCAGCATAGTGGATGCACCTAAATAAAAGGAAAACACTCATTTTATAAATATTAATGTAGAAAACCCAGTTAAGAATTCTCAATATTTTTATATCTTATTCTTATTTTATCCTGTCAGCAGCATGAAACAGTGCTGCGGAACACTCTCTCCCCTTGATTTTTGCAATAGCTTCTCTTACTGGCTTTTCCGCCACCTCTCCTGCTGCTCCTTTTTGTTCCTTTGTCAGGTTCTTATGCCAGTAGAGATGGGATTCCTCAAGGCTCACTTTATGCTGCTTTCTCTACTTACTCTTCTACACTGTTGTCCTAGACAATCTCAAAAACCATTGCCTACCTACTGAATCTTAAATTTATATCTTTGGCCCAGGCTCCTCCTGAAAGCTCCAGACCCATGTATCCTTACTGACTTATTTATTTCTATTTGAATGGAAACATCTTCAAACTCAGTATGTCTAAAACCAAATATGGTTGCCCTGCTGAATATATTGGTGAACACTGCCGTTCTTGTACAACTCAGAAAACAAAGTATCATCCTTCATGTCTCCCCTTCCTAAGTTCCCCATGTCTAATCAAATCAATCAGCTATCTTTTCAATCTTACCACCTACATTTTAAATATCTCTTTTATCTGTCCATTCCTCTTTATTGCCATTACTCCAGTCATTATTTCTCCAGGATAACAACAGGCTTCTAATTAATCTCCCTGAATTCAGAATGTCCTACACTGAAACTAAAAGTATCTTTTCAAAAGTCAAATCTGTTTTGGTAACAGCGCTTCCCCCCCCCCCCCACCTTTACAAAGGTCAGTCTTTCTCATCCCTCATGTTCTTTGCATGTGTGACTACTTCAAAAAAGCCTTCTTGGACACACTGATCTATATCAGGTTCCTACGTTCCTACAGGAACATGCTCCTTTCTTTACTTCATTATGTAATTATATACTCATTTGTGTGGTTATTTGATTAATGTCTGTTTCTGCCCAGAGAGCTTCCTGAGAATAAGGGCAGTATCTATTTAACTCATTATTGATTTTCGAGTGTCTAGAGCAGTCCTTGGACATGAAACACCTTAAATATGGGTATGAATAAATGACACACGTGAAACTCATCCAGGGCTTCAGGTATCCATCCTCTCTAAATACTATAATTTCTTTTCAGCCTAAGAAAACACTTAGTAGAAATGCAAAGAGAAATTCCCATTTGTTCTATAATATAATAAAGGTAAAGTTCTCCAAAATATGTAAATCATTAGGTAGAAAGAGATCAAAAACTAAATGAAACAATCACCACACAATTCATCTGTGAAAGGAAGGAATAAATTCTAATAAAAGGAAACTTTAATATCATATTAGATCAAAGAAGGACTCTTTGTACAATATATCAATTTAGGAAGCGACCTAACCATGTGATTAAAATTATGAATATTTTAACATTTTTATCACCAAAAGTTTTTGATACTAAAATGTCTGCTTTTATGTTTTAAATGATTCTAGAGTATACAACATAGACGTGATAACTTATCACTAGACTTAATGTTAGCAGTCTGGTTGATAATACAGGCAGGGTGTATGTAGCCTGTCATATTTACCACTATCTTCCTTTGCCTAGTACAATGTTGGTTACATAGTATGTACACTGTTGGTGGGAATGCAGACTGGTGCAGCCATTGTGGAAAGCAGTGTGGAATTTCCTCAAAAAGCTGAAAATGGAACTGCCTTTTGATCCAGTGATTCCCCTGCTGGGACTATACCCTAAGAACACCAAAACGCCAATACAAAAGAATCTATGCACCCCAATGTTCATAGCAGCACAATTTACAATAGCCAAGTGTTGGAAACAACCTAAATGCTCATCAGTAGATGATTGGATCAAAAAATTGTGGTACATATACACAATGGAATACTACGCAGCAGAAAGAAAAAAAGAACTACTAAACTTTGCGACAGCATGGATGGAACTGGAGAGCATTATGCTAAGCGAAATAAGCCAGGGGGCGAAAGACAAATACCATATGATCTCACCTATAAGCGGAACCTAACCAACAATACAAAGATGCAAGGAAAATAAGACCAGCAACACTGAAAGGAAAAGAAATCGGGGGAGGCAGAGACAAATATATTTAAAAAGTAAATAAATTAAATAAATAAATAAATAAATAAATAAATAAATAAATAAAAAAGAAATCAACAGAGACAAGAGGGAAGGAGGGAGGGGCGGGCAGGGAAAGGGACGGAAGGGGAAAGTCAAGGAACATATAGCAAGGACTCATGGACAAAACCAAAGGGGAAGAGCTGAGGGAGGGAAGGAGGGAGGGCGCAAGGGAAAGTGGTGGGGGTAGGCAGAGACAAATGTATTTAAAAAAATAAATTAAAATAAAATTTAAAAAAAATTTTTGGAATGTAGCCTATTTCTTCACAAATTTTAAATTTTACACTAAAGTATATTAATACATAAGTTATGAGCATACACAGATAAACCCTATCCTTCTAAAATTAGATATGCTGAGTGACTTCTCTACAAAGTTTTCTTATCCTTTATTTTAATTATTTAGTCAATAAGTATCTAGTGATGCTTGTTAACATAGAGTACCATATTATATATTGCCATCCAAGTATGAAATATAGTGCTGTTTTACAAATATAGTTCTTTTCCTTCAATATGCATCCTCAACATGTCTACCATTGCTAAAAAATGTTATTGTCCCTGCAGTCCAAATTTAAAACTTTGATGCTATCTTTAAAACTGAAACAAGAATATTGATACATATCATTCAACATTGTAAGGTTTCCTATTATTAAAGGTACCAATTTAAAATTTTTCTTTCCTATAAAATGGTTTCAATATTTAATCATGTTTATATTAGAACAGTCTAATATTTTAATACGCCTGTAGTATTATATCCCATATACTTTATCAATGTAGTAATTTCAAATAGGGTTCTTAATTTAAAGGATGAAAAAACAGATTCTCTTAGCTACAGATGCTATGTAAGCATAAAAACTTGGCATTTGCTGCCACCTTGTGACTGAGTATAAAAATAATCTTCATTGACGGATAAAAAATGAAAAGTGCCTTTTCCCCAAGTCAATGTGAAAGGTTACAGGACTAAATGCCCAAAGTAGTGCAATATTTTCCTAATTTACAAAGTTACAGTTTGGGCTTTAACACAGACACAAAACACTTTAGTTATCTCTTATACATTTCTACATTACCCCCTAAACTTCTAGAAGTCCATTTACCTGATATTTAATTACTAAAATAATTGTTACTCATTAAATAAAGAAGGAAATCAAGTCCTGTGTTGGTAATCTGCTTTTTTATCCTACAAATACATACAACTCAAGAGTCCTTGCATTGAAGGGTCAAGTAATCTATTTGGTCATTAACAGAGAAGAAAGTAAGGCAATCTTCTTCCATTGTTTTCTTGTAACTAACCAAATGGGCCAGGGAGATAATTCTATTATTCAGGGACATTATCCAATTAATAATTTATTATGGTTCATATTTCACCACTCTTCCTTTCTTCTAATAATTTTCCAATAAGGCTGAAAAACCTAAAAAAAGAAACTTAAACCTGTCCATAGGTTGTAACTACAAAGGATAGCCTGAAAGAGAATAATGAGATTTGCTTTAAAAAAGAAAAGATTAGGAATCACAGTATCTAAAGACTTAATCACCTCTTCATTTGGGTAATGAAATAATGAAAAGTTGAATCAAATGTGGCTGGGAAAATGTTCAAGAAATGCTTCAGAAATGATTTTGAAAATCCCTGATTTTTTTTACTGTGGTCATGTTACATTTAGGGTTGACTTTCTGGAATCAATTTCTTGAGTTCATAAAAGTTCCCAATATATAAATAAGTTATGCACCAGTACACATTTTCCACTAAATAAAATTTATGAAGCTCTACTATGTTAGGTTATTCATCTATTCAACAATTATTAGAAATCAGATATTCCGCAATGTAAGGTAACACACTAATACAGTAAGCTCAATATAAGGTGCACTACCTGACCATAATGAACTTACTAAATAATAAAATTGCCTATAAACTAATGCCGCCCAAAACTAAATGGTGGATACATTCCTATAGTAGCCAAGAATAAGCCTACTTAACTATAATAGTTTCTATTTACAAGAAAAGCAGTAGCAAAAATTATTACAGATACAAAGCATGATACCTTCGAATGATGACAAAACATTATCCTAATCCATCACCTCTCTCTCTCTCTTTCTCTCAACTGGCCTCCCTATATCTTCCTTCGTATGGTGGCATAGCTATTTTGAGTTCAAGTCCATTCCTTGGATTCTTATTTTCCTACCACTGGATCAGGTTTCATAGAATAGTTAAAATAAAAAGATCCATGAGGAGCCAACTACATAGCTTCAAGAACACTGACATCCTGTCTTTGATTAAACTGTAAGAGTGGTCTTATTTGTTAAAGGTTTATTTAATAACATTTAGGATTTCTTTAATAATATTTAATAATAACTGGAAGAGAGTAGGCACCCAATAAATGCTTACTGAACAACTGAATTGAGCCAAAAAGGTTATGGATTAACTATGTGGCAGCAAGTACTCAATACATGGGCTCTGTACTTTCCACTAAAGACCACTCCATGAGGACAATCAAAATGAATGTTCCTAAGCATTTTTGAAGCTCATGGCTAATTAACCTAACCTTGGAGACAAAAACATAATAACCTGAAATTTTTGCAGTTTTCTTCATCTTTAGCATGACACAGTTTTACAAACAGCTACAGCTCAGAAGTGGAAAAATAAACATGGATACCACGGCACAGTACCTTTCAATTTAATTGCCAGATCAATGTAGGAATGCAGAAATGCCATGGATACTGCTTGCCCTGCATTAAAATAAAAAATTCAATAGATATTACAACACATACATCTCCAAAGCACCCATAGTTACACATAAGAATCATATAGATTTATGGAGTTTCCCAAAATTGCCATTTATTGTTCCAAACATTTAAGAAGGTTCCAAATGCAACTAATTTTCTGCATTCATATACTACAAGGGATATAGTTAAATGGCTATTATTTGATGATTAAAGCAATATACTTCCTAAAACCCATAAGAACTGTTAGTATATTAAAATCAAGCTCAAATCACAATACTTTTTCTAAATTAATAAACTGAATATCTAGTTTAATCATTAGCCTTCAATTTTAAGTCGGATGTAGATAATCGGTGTTACAACCCCAGAATCAACTAGATGTTTCATTATATGCAGTCTACCTGGGACATAAGAAAGCTATGTCATCTTACAATATGCAATATACAGAATGCAAAAATAAAATCTGCCTACTTTAAATTTCTTAATATGTAATATAATCTCCTCTAAAGAGCCATACTCACAACCAGCATAGAAAAGCACTATGCTGTCTGAAGCCATTACTGTCATGTTAAATGTCTCTTCTGTTAGTTCCAAAGTGAGTTCCAAAGGTAACTGTCTCTTCCTCTCTCTGGAAACACTTTCTGCCACTTCATCATCTTGAATTCCTAAAACATTTTAAAAGAAGGTAATGTATATATAAATGTTTGATTAAAATATTTAAGCTGTTTTTGCAAGTGAGCATATGGAAATTTGACACTTTATTAAAAACCTTGAATTCACACTATTTTATTAGTTAAAAATGCATGATGTTTAGAAAACTTTATCATTCCCTAGCTCCCTATCCTAAATGACTCTGGGATGCTTCCTGACTCAGAAACTGTGAAGTTTTAATCAAGTCTAGAAGCATTTATTTAAACTTGTCTAGAAATAATATATTATATTTAGTTTCTAATAAAATATTAAGGTATTATCCAAAAAGGTTCAGGGTTTATTTAGCTTCCACTATATGACAAGCACTGTAATATATAGTAGGGAAAACAGTAAACAAAACAGATATGGTCTCTGGCAAGATGGAGCTCCTATCTACAAAAAGGTGAGATAATAAATAACCTGATCACTGAATAAATATATAGAATTATAAATTGAGATCAGTTTAAGAAAGGAAAAGGATAGAATAAGAGATTATAACAGGGAGAGTTAGATTGGAAGATCCAAAGTCTTCCAGGTGGAGAATAAAGAAAAGAATGTCTGAGGCAAAAAGAGTAACATGCATATGCAAAGGCTCAGAGACATAAAATAACATATACTATGTACAGAAGGCAGGCAAAATTGACTAACACAAGGTAAGCTGACAGAATAAATGGTATGAGAAAACTCCAGGCTGGCAGTGGCTGGATCATAAGAGACCGTATAAGCCACGGATTTTGGATTTTATTCTAAGTGCATCAAGTTGAGGTGAATTCTGAATATGTAAAAATCTATCATTAATTTAGATAGACAGACTGACCAACTGATCCATCCATCCATTTATCCATCTATCTATCCATGTATTGTGGTAAAAAAAACACTCTGAATTTGTAAATACTGTATTGGAAGTTTGCATAGGTTGCATGGTAACAATGAAGGAGCACCTAACTTGATTAGAGAAACAATTAAAGCTTCCTAGAAGAATTGACACTAGCTGAATAAAAGAAAATAAAACTTAGGTGAGAAAAATTTGAGGATTTCTGGTCAAGATGACAGCATAGTTAAACATGGCTCACCTCCTCACACAATCACATCAAAATTACAACTAAAATATAGAACCACGACCGAGAACCATCAGAAACTGAGTTGAATGGAAGTCTCACAACTACAGAATTAAAGAAGCCACATCCATCCATACTGGTAGGAGGGGCGGAGACACGGAAGGGGTTGGTCCCAAATCCACATGTGGTGGATAAAAATTCAGGAGGGATATCTAGGGAACAAGGCATCCTTACATCTTTTCATCTAATCAATTTGATATGTGATTCAAAATAAATTTCTTCAGGTTTCTTCATAGTTTTGATGAAGTGAATACATTCGATGTGAAAGTTAATTCATTGAAATTTCACTGACCTAATGGATGCTGGGCATGAATGGGTGGGGTGAGCATCACAAAACATATTACCCATATCTGGACCTTCCATGTCATCATCTTCATCTTCTCCTGTTTCCTCAATGTCCATATTATTTTCTACATGAGATATTACTAAATCAACATCATGTAACACCAAAAATTCCACTGGCATTCCCTATAAATAATTTAAAAAAAATAACTATAATAAAGCATTTTAATATAAAAATATTTTACTTGTTGATACTAAAATGAAGCCAGACCTTAGCATTACAATTTTGAATTAAATAAAACAAAAAAAAGAAAATTATCTCCACAGTCACTATTAAAAGTATCCAAAGCATACTTTACATAAAGATAGTATACACTGCTGAAAAAGATGGCAAAAAAAAAAAAAAGAAACTGAGTCTTGCTTGCCATTTGGGAGGGGTATTGAGGGCTGGTTGAGAAAGGCTGAATTACATATTGGTAGTTACAAAATAGTCATAGGATGTAAAGTACACCTTAGGGAATACAGTCAATAACAGTGTAATAACTATGTAGAGTGCCAGGGGGGTACTGGAAATATTGGGGGGAACACTTTATAAAGGATATGATTATCTAACCACTATGCTGTACATCTGAAACTAATACAAAGTAATATTGAATGTAAACAGTAATTAAAAAATAATATTAAAAAGTCTCGCTTCTTTTCACAATTATATTACCCTGAAATCTGAAACATTTCACATGTAACAGTAAACTCCACCTCAATATAAAATGGTAATATACACAATTTTATTGCAAACAGAACTAATCAAAATTATTTTGAATATTGCACAGAAATATTCAAAATAATACTTTAATATAATCCCACTAAAAAGTTAAGTTAAATTGCCTGTTTAACTATAAACATAAAAATACTATTTGCTCCCAGGTATTTTAGGAATAACAAATTCTATTCCACTTGAGATTAGTCCATTAAAATTTCTTTCATTAATGTCCAACAACAAATAGGTTATCTTAGTAAAATATACTTGATTATAACTGTACAGTAGAATACTGCTAAAAAAAAGCTTTAAGTGTGTTCTTTGATATCACATATCTTCATCTGTTGAATATTATATTCAAAGCAAGTAATTTTTTACTCCTGCAGAAACATAATGGAGCTAAAAGGAAGAAAAATCAAAATCGCTCAAACTGAATTTATTCAAAATATATATAGAAATTGTTGTGGTAAATTTTTTTATTGAAATATACCTTCACACAGAAAGGAACACAAATTGTTAAGTGTATATTTTGATGAATTTTTACAAGGTGGATACACTTATGTAGCCACAACACAAATTAAGACACGGAACATTACCAGCACCTGTCATTGCCCTCCTCCAAAGGTAATCACTATTCTGATTTTCATCACCACCTGTAAATTTTGCCAGTTTTTCAATTTACTGGTATATAATGAAACTATACAGTCCGTACTCTTGTTGTGACTGCTTCTTTTGCTCAACATTATTTGTAAGGTTGATCCATATTGTTACATATAAAAGCAGTTTATTCTTGTTCAATGCTATAGACTATCATTACATAAATGTATTTATGTAATTTATTTACTTATACACTATATAAGATTAGCTGTATTTTAACAATTTAAGACATCCATAACCAGAATACCACCATTATTTTTAATTCTTCTATAGGTCTATTTTTTCCCAATAACAAATATTATAGTTTCTCATTAAAGGATATTTACCAGCAAAAAAAAAAAGAGGCTTCAGAAAATATTCTTTCCATTACCTGGCCAAAAAGCAAACTAGCCCCATATTATACATGTTTGAAAAAACTACAGTTTTCAAACCATATTCATATTTGGTCTTATAAAACTTCTTGTAAGTTAGAAGTGAGGTTTCATGACTGTTCCACAAATGAGAAAACTGAGCTTAAAATAACTAAATCATTTATCTGGTCCCAGAACCACAAGAAACAAAATCCAAGTCTTCTTCCCAGTATTTCTGCTATAGACTTAGGCAAGACAACTTAAGTTTAAATTGTCTGGCAGTTTGTAAATATATCAATCAATTTTTTAGCGTATGTATATAATATTTAGATATTCAGAGTTAAAGAGTCCTTAATAACTATGAAACAATTTTTAAAGGTTTAAGGAAAAAGGGACATACGTATTTATGAATATACATATGAATATACATAAGAATATGGGCAAAGAGACAAATGAAAAAACACACCAAAATGTTAACAGCAATTATGGCTGGATAGTGACAATTTACAGAATTTTTCTATAATAAGCATATATTACTTTAGGACCCCATATATTAACTTTCTTTAAGTAAGTAGACATTGTAGACCAATACATAAAATGACTAACCTCTTCTCTTTTGAAGACCACATTAGCTTGCTGAGGAATGTCCACTTCCAAAGAGTCCCTTTTTCAAAATAGAAATAAAGTTTTTATGTTGCTAATCTGAAGGATAATAGTTATCCAGAATGTCAATCTAAAAAACAACTGTTAAGTTCTCATACAAAAAAAAAAGTTTATGAAAAAAAATTAAAATTTTGTGAGTCAGAAACTTTAAACATAAATACAGACCAGATTTTCTGGTCTCTATCATAATCTTTATCTTCATCTAGAAAAATTTTAAGGTCTAAATTTTAAAGAAGATAATAACTATAGACTTTAGCTCGGCAACTTGTTCTAACTATTAAAATCTATTACAGATTTGAGTTTATTTATAAGTGAACAGATTACCACATTTAAATACAAGAAAAACATTAGTGTTTTGCTAAATACAGTGAAAATTTCATGTTTAAGATACCTTAACAAGAGTAAAACTCCTGCCTTTCCCAGAAGACGCCAAGCAACCCACTCTGCTGTTCTTCTATCAGCTTCATATGTAGCTTGTTGACTGACAATAAAAACCAGTGGTAATCCTAGTTGTAGATGAATAGTTGAAACTTGTTGAGGATCTTCAGCAACTTCGGTCTTTATTTGTAAAAAGAATAAAATGTGACAATCATGTTCCAACATTTGGATTTAAACCCTGCTAATTCTTATTAAGTCATGAGTATAAGAACAAGTCTGTGAAATAAATTCAACATTACCAGAAAGTCTCATAATTTCTAAGTTTAATGCTTCCAACATACCTATACAGTTTAAGAATTATAAACTAACAGATTTTATACGGCATTAAACATAAAATTACAACCATAAGGAAGAAGCATATTATAAGGGAAAAAATCAATAAATAAAACAGTGTGATACCGATAAAGAGATAGATATTTCAAATAAAATAGAACAGATAACTAAGAAATACACTCTTTCATATTAGAATTTAACATATAATGACACATTACAGAAGAATGAGGAACATCTGAGTTAAGACAGCAGCTTGAACACACACATCTAACTTCACTGCCTCCAGAAATCTCAGGAAAACTAGAGCAGTGGGATTTTTTAGAAGAGATACACCTACATATATAAAGAAATGAAAACAGAAAAGCGGCAAAATTTTGGATGCTGGAAAACAGAATAACTGATTCTACAAAACAAAACTCTAAGCCATAAAAGAAAGCTAAGAAACAATTCAATTTTAACTGCAGAATAAATCCTAAAATTGCTCAGGAACTGTCAGTGCCTGGTATCTCTGGAACTGGGGAAAAAAATAATGGAGGAGGAATGGCAGAAAGACTTTTTTAAAAGGAGGAATAAGTAAAACCTTGAGAGGAGCAGTTAGATCCCTAGATTCCCCTCCCCTACTCCATGAGCATAGCAAATTGTCCCTCCTTCATACCCAGAGAACTCTGGGGGCACTTCAGAAACAGCTCACAGTGTGAGAAGCATGCCAGAAGCAGAGGAATTAAGTAATCAAATGCTGAGTCGCTCCCCAACACCCTTCCCACTCAGTTCCCAGAATCCTAGTAGCCAGACCTCTGTCTTCCAGCAGAAGACTGGAAGATCCTCTTCTGAGGATCTTGAGTAACCCTGAGTCCACTATTCTGTGTTTCTTGCACTGCTAAGTCTTTCTAGGCTGACACCAAGGTGTAGATTTTCAGCTTGGCTCACCACACAGACACTGATTTCAAAACTACAATTACATAATTCCTGGTAAGTATAACAAAAAAAAATCAGAGAATCTCCCTCTTCAGTACCTACCTTAAAAAAAATGTTTTTCAAAACAGCAGGAGAAAATTCATGAGTAGAAATTTTAGGAAAGGGGCACAACTTCAAGTCATAATGTTGTAGCCAAAGAAAAAAAATCGATTTTTAGTAAAGCTTGGGCTGAGTCCTAATCCTGCCCCAATGCCAAAAACAGTACTGGAAAGTAGACAAAAATCCTGAGAATACTTACTATCTCAATATTGGAAGAAATGGAAATGAGGCTGGAGAGAAACAGTGAAGAACTGTATAGTGAACTGACCACTCTCAGGGCTCTATGCTAAGATGGGAGATCAAAACAAATTCATAGGGTATTCTCCCCATTGGAATAAGATAAAAGTTCCTCCTCCATGTGAAGGGAAAGAAAAAAGACATACACTGCTTTTTTAAAAAAAATTGTTTAAAGCCAAAATCAAATCAAACTGACAACTGACTCAAAGAACTCAGTAATGAGGTCAGTAAAATTGAGGGTAGGGAGTTCTGAACCTATTTAAATATAGAAGCAAGGCTTTTCAAAGAGTGGGAATTATGATTATAAAACAATACAAATATCATAAATCTTAATAATGTAAAAATAATGCAAAACTGACGATAGTAAGCAGGGTAAGATAATCTGGGATGGAAATAAACGTATGAAGTTAATTTTCCCATCTTTCACAGCAAGGGATGAGTTAATACTATCTTAAATGAAAACATAGTTTTTAAAAAATAATGATTTAATTTACTAATGTTTTTCATAATTATTTACAACACTAACGACAATATTTCCTGAGGCCTCTAATGATGAAATGATTTATCAAAAGTCCCATAATCCCTCTACTTTCACATCAATTCCTTTTTCTTCTATTAAATACAACACTTCTTACTATAAAGTAGCATATGCAATATCATATATCCATTAATCCATTTATTCCTCTCATGGCGCATGTAGATGACTGGTATGATGGTCACCCAACAGTTCATTTCTGAGTGATAGAATTAGGTAGTTTTAAATGTTTTTCTTTATACTTTGCTGCACTGTTTGAATTATTTATAATCTACATGCACCATTTTTATTGAAAAAGAATGTGCTAAATGAAAAGACCTACTGAAGGTTTTATACATGCTCAGGACAACCCTTCAAACTTTTGGAGAGAGAAGTCTGCTGGTCACCAACATCTACTGAATCTCTGTAAAATTCTTCCAGGCTAACACTAAGAAAAAAGGAACACCAGAAATGCTATACTTTCAATATTTACCAACTTTTAAAACAGTGACCAAAATATTACCAAGAGGTCTTTTCTTGACTATGGTGTGGTCTTTGTGAGCTCAGAGTCGTCACAGTTCATTATAACTACCACAGAATATTTCTAATACACAAGGCTGTATTTAGGTTTTAATACAACAATACTTCAAGGCATTTGATGATCATTTTAGTCTATCATCTCCTCTACCCTTAATAAGGAAATACTCATAAATTCCCCTAAATTTAAGACATTATGCCCAAGGAAAGGGGGAACGTATATAGCTCATCTAAGTAAAATGCATATCTGTGAATCAAAACAATAAGTTTAATATATAGATTATCTAATATATTTTAAAAAGGCACATACCAGCAAGGGTGCTTCCATTGACTTAATAAATCTATATATGTTCAGTGTCGTCAATGGCTGTCCCATTAGTGTTCTTCTACATTGCTGGGTCAAGTCCAAGACAGGTTTACAATGAAAAAAGTAGAGATGTGCATATTCTATATCCTCCAATCTGCAAATTAAAAATCAGGGACAGACCCACTTGAACTTCAATGTGTGATCATTCTACCACCCAGAAAGGCATAACAAATTTCTTTAAGTCTCATGTTTTTGAATTAATGTTTTGGTAAAAGCCTAAAACAGTATAACATTAAAATAAAATGGACCTAAGGTAAAGATATAGAATATTAAAGAAAATTAACTGTAGTATTTTCAACAAAACACAAAAGTTGTTGCATAAGCTATTTTTTTTTCCCTGAATTCTTTCATATGGTAGCTTCTAAATCAGGGTACAGGCAGGTCTACATAATTTTTTTAAAAATAAAAGGCTGTCACCTTGAGGACAATAAGATCATCTTTAAATATAGTTCCTTTTCTAGAGATTTGCTAAATAAAGCTCTGTAACACAAATTTTCTAGGTTTAATTTAAAACCAAATCTGTTTTGAATAAACTTCAGCCAACACATACCTTAAGATAGAAACCACATGACACTTTGTGGGAGTTTGTGAGTTTGTATCTGAAATATTACAAAATTCAGCAAATATGGCATATAATTTGAGTTTTGGCATTCCCTTCAATATGAGAATTCAAAGATAAACTTATAGTGGGTAAGTAAGACTTGCCAAAATTAAAATAGCATTTTTAAAAATCTCTATATGGCATGAGAAGGGTTTGGCAAAATACTTCCAATTTTTAATTTTAAAATGTTATTTTAATTCTTGATATATGCTTAAACTGAGCTCCAAGGTTCACAGATTTCAAATTTAATTATAAACCAATTTCTAATAGATTCAATGATTAAAGAAATGATCACACAAAGATTTACTGAATGCCTGCTGTATACTAGGTCCTGTGCTAGGATACAAAAAACTAAGATAAATAAGACAATTCAAATCCATGAAGGGCTTAAACTGAAGGAGATATGTTTAGTAAAACAATTAAAATGTAGTTTATAAATGCTATAATGTACAAAGTGCTATGAGAAACAAAGAAATATTTAATTTTTGCCTCAAGTTGGGGAGGGGAAAGAAAGAAGGGATTTGGGAAGATCATCACAGATTAAAAGCAGCAAGGGAGAGAAAGACTTGTCCAAGAAGATAAAACGAATGGGTATTTCAGATAAAAGAAGCAGTACAGCCAAGGCACAAAGTACATAAGTTTTTGAGGGGGACCCTAAATAGTCACATATTAAAAGCAGGAGGACCTTGCTGAGGCGGGAACTCATATCACAACCTCTGAAATAATGTTGGAAAGTTATTTAATCAGGGATCATTTGATTCTAAATAACAGAAACCAAAAAGGGGGTTGAGGAGAAACCCTTATTGAAGTTTAGAAGAGTATCTTACAGAATACAAGGAAAATGAAAAGTAATTGGATCAGAGAGATCTGAACAGCAAGAGTTCTGTGACCTTTATTTTGCCATTAATACTCTTCAACTCCCAACTTTCTATAAAGACAACTCTCTCAGTTTGACTTCTATATGGGCAAGAGAGCCACACCATTATATGATCATTTTCTGTGCCCAATTCTAATTTTATGTGAGAGGGGATCTCATTTGCTCAGGTAAACTGATGGATTGGTTGGCCCTAGGTCAGGTGGCTGCCTCTGATTTAATTGAATGTGATGTACATGGGGTGAGGGTATCACCCTTCTTGGCCTATACACAGATTCTTTAAGCAGGGACTATAAGAGGGTAAGAAAAAGTACTGTTGTCTCTATGGCACGTTACCTCTCATACTACCTGTCAACATACACCCTTCTTAACCAACACATAATTTCAAGTATAATAAGGTCAAACATTATATAACAATTAGTATACCAGTCTCATCCATTGTTATAGCCCCAGCAACTGAAATAGTGCCTAGCACAAAAAAGGTATTCAACAAATATTTGTTAAATGAAAGAATGAACACATGAACGGAAAAAAAGGCATTCTTTTATCCCTTATTAGGAGACAGTTCAAAGTTACAGCCAATGACTTCATCCAGAAGTGGTGTCATAGGACTACTGTATTCTGAATCCAGAGTCCTTCCCTGTCACATCAGGTCCAGGTATGACACCTCACCATCTTACTATCCATGAATAAATGAGAATTCAAATATGTCCAATATTTCATATACTCAAATGTATAGCAAAATGGGATAAATGTACATTTTTAATTTCCAATTTTAAAGTGGAGAAAAGCAAATATTCTTTCACAGCATTACTGTGTTTAGTCATAGGTCAGAATAAAAAATACACTTAGTATACCTTGATGAACATGATTTTTAAAGTGAATAATATGACTTACATATACCCTGTCAAAAAATAACCACCCCTTGTGTTTGAAGCATGTCACCATTATTTGCAATTATTTATTATCTAAAAAACAAGCTGGTAACACAAGAAAAAGTACAAACAGCTAACCTTAAGAGAATCTGTGGGGCCACCAGAGAATCCCCATGGGGTGCAGAATAACAAGGCTTCCCCTATTCCAGAATGGGAAATTGGCAGTTGGGAGTGGCAAAGGAGCTGGCTAAACAACTGCTTATTGTAGCTTGAGACTCGGTGACTATTTACAATAAAGCTCTATGATACTGTCAGCATCAATCTCAAATTGTTAAAAACCTTGACTCTTACATGAGTAGGAAACATGCATCAAGGCTTTATTTAATTCATTGATGAGGGAACCAGAAGAATGACAGTTCAGTAAGAAGAGAGGAATGGAAAAGGAAAGCTGGCTGCCATAGAGAGAACAGTAAACACATAACTTCTCTGTGCAGGAACTTTATTTTCTGCCAATCCATCCCTCCCCGAATCATTTAACTTTATCAGTTTTCTATGCACTAAACTCTAAATTTAGAGAGTTGTAAAATGTCTGGGATTTAATTACTTGAGTGTGGTATATCAAATAATCATTATTTTCTAAGAAAATAGTCAGCAAGAGACTCAAAAACTAGCATGGTATAAAAAGGTCACATGATCACCATTTGGCCCTGCTTTGGATTAATTTTCCTGAAGAACATTTTAAAGCCAAACTTAAAGTCTTTAAAATGCACTGGTTATTCCTTGTGTTCCTAAATACTAAAAAGAGAAACTTTAACCCTACGTTACCCAGACAACAGTCAAAAGGCGGCCTCTACCTACAATTGTAAGCTACAAAGTAGGCAAAAAAACAAACATCTAAAATGTTCTATTTAAAAACTGTACTTAAATATACTTAAGATTATGAGAAAGTAACTCACAGAACTCACAGAAAGAATTTCTGGAGCTTTATTATGAAAGCTGCTATTTTATCACCTATCTCATCACTGTGAGAGATCTATTCCTGAAATATACTTGGACACTCATAGGATCACACCTTGTGTCTTATCCATATTGTCTTCATTCACCTTAGTCTAACATCACTTCTGCATGTTTAAATTCATTTTCAGACAGTAGTACAGTGGATGATGGTAATGAAGGTGATTTCAGGTTTCATTTATATGTTCACATTTGCTTATACTTTCCCTTACATAAGTCCACTCTGTGAGAGTATAATGGAAATGATAAATAAATAATGTGAAATAAATAAAGTTAAAATTGTTAACATATGCCACTTATACATACCCAATACTTTCCAAAAGGGCAATTTCTGTGGTTAAGACAAATTGGTATGTGTTCCCATACACAAAAGCAGCTTCCATGAAAGCCCTGTGCTCTGAAAAAGAGGTAAGAGTTGGGAGAGAGGAGGAGTTAGTTTGTGTGACTCTACATAAACTTTTATTCTCTAGATTACCCTACATCCTTTTATGCTCTATTACAGTTAAAGAAAAATCCTTTGTAGGGATCCCAGTTGGGAAAATGCAAGCAGTTAAAGAAATTATGAAAAGTCTACTCTATTCAAGGTAAGAGAAGAATTAAGGAACATAAAATGAGTTATACTTGAGAATATAACATGAAAATTCTGCAATAGCTTCTTCCTAGTAGAAGAGAAGAGAATATGAAGTCACCATACAGCTTTTATATGTTATGTATCTGGGTATTGTTTCTGGCTTAGTTGGGGTTTTTTCGTTGTTTTTGTTTGTTTGTTTTTGTAATCAAACTTATTCTTGAACAGAGTTTAAAGAGGCAAATCATTCTTCGGGCGTGCAAAAAAAAAAAAAAAAGAGTTTCTCCACCTTCCACACTATTTCCAATTTCTGAAGGGACAACTACCTTCAACTTTTACTATTTCTTTAGGTATTTACCTCCAAGTCTCTAGATTACATTGCTATACTCTTATTTTCTAATTCTTTTGTGTTAGTATTATCTACTGACTTCCCACGGTGGAAGATGATAAATTAGCTGTCTTCTCCAAAACTCCACTTCACAGATATACACATTTCTATCCCCTCCATTTTCCCAATATAGTCCTAATTTTTATTAAATCAGTAGTCAGTATTTACATTGTTATGAGCCAGTAATACTATTTACAAATGAGCTATACAGTACAAAATGAACATTTTTTCCTTTACTGAACTTCTTTTACTATAATTATACCTATCTTTTTATTTTTGTATAATTTCTTAATAATTTATTCCTAAATTCTTACACAATTGTCTAACCCTCTTAATACTTCAAATATATCAAGTATACTATCTATTCCCTCTTCTGCAGAAATGTCTATTATTGCTACTTGACCTGCTACACAACTTTCTTCCTGAGAACTTACTTCATCATCATCCCAGGGATCTCTTATTCTTTCTCTTGTTTTAGCGCCATTGGCCTGTTAGCCATGTCTTCTTGACTGATTTGCCCCCTTGCTCCCATACTCTAGCACTTCCTATGAGAGGAAATATTGAATACACATTTTTTTTTTTGCAAGTTTGCGCTTCTGGAAGTGTCTTTATTCTACTTTCATATAACTAACTATTGTCTGCTTATAGAATTCAAGGTTCAAGTCATTTCTCCTGAGAATTTCAGTGTCCAGGGCTGCAACTGAGCAGTCCAATGTCATTCTGATTCTTGATCCTTCAACTACAAACTTCATTCTTACTGGAATATTTGAGAATAATTTTTGCCCCCAATATTCTAGATTTCAAAATGAGATGCTTTGGTGTGGATCTACATTTATCCACTATGCTGAGACTCAGTGGGTTCTTTCTATTTGGAAGCTTGAATCCTTCTGTTCTGGGAAATTTTCTTGAAGTGCTTCTTGGAAGATTTCTTCCTTTTCTTATTTTACTTTCCTTTTTTTTCATTATCATTTCCAGGCAGTTACCTTCCCCTCTGCCACCTAATCTTCTACCACTTATATTGCATATCATCAGATTATTCCACTCACCACGCTGCCTTGTTAGAGTCATCTACCACCCCAGCCAGGGCCACTCCCCCTCATTACAAAAAGATTCGAGGTTATGTCACACCGTCACTTTCTCCAATACTACTCCTGTCATAATCCCTGGTGACTTTATTATCCCCATAGAGGATTCTTTCAAAATCCTTGGCCTTCTCTATAGACGCCAATGATCGATCTTCAATCCTACCTTAACCACTCACTACTACGGTCCCACTGCAGGCCTTTAATTAGCAATTACTGAAAACTCCTCTATAATTTCAATATCTAGCATCATGCCCCTCACTCTCATACCTCCATCTGACTAGGTCATTTAGTCTAGTACAGAACTCTAACCCTCCAGGACCCATAATCCTACTACTTTTCTCTGTCAGTCACCCCCCTAAAATCCTCTTTTCTCTTAATCCAGCTTAAATTACATAGTCAATCTTCATAATCACTCCCCTGCCCATTTGGCCTAAATACAATCCAGGTTAAATCAAACACTCTGTCTAGTCTACACTTACAAATGGATTCTGTCAAAGTTAGACTTTTGAAAAATCAAGAAAAATATGTCATAATCAGCAAATACCAAAATATTTAAAAAGAAAGTTAGTCGGTCAACATTTACTGAATACTATAAACTACTATACCAGGTACCATAAGGACTATAAAGAAATAAAAAATAGTAACAGCTAACACAGAGCACCTATTACATGCCAGAAACTATTTTAATTATTCAAATTCATCTGGTCCTCACAATAACACTAAGAGGTAGGCACATTTCTTTTCACCATCTTAGTGAATAAGAAACAGGCTATGTATGTTGTCCAAGGTCATACTATAAGTAATTAATGGAACAAAGAGTCTAATTTAGGCAGTCTGGCTCCAGAGTTCAATTCAACCATTATGATATGCTGCCAATTAAAAACAGAAAATATAATAGTGAAGATGCTTTAAATTTATTTTAAAATATTAAGATCATGGTCAAAATACACTATTTTTTAAGTTCTTCAATATACTCACACAAGTACAGACACAGTAAAGATTAAAGTAAAAGTTAGTAAATACCTGGTGTTCCAATAGCTCTTACATATGAAAATGCAATGTTTGCTTTTCCTTTCAAAGCATCTTCTATCTTCTGAAGGTCTTTTAAGGTAGTAATATATTTTACTTCATTAAAAAGAAGGGCACTAAAATAAGCAGAGATGTAATTAGTAGAAAAATCTGTATGAACTTAGATATTTAATATATATTTGTTAAGTACAGTGGTACCTCGTTCCAGGACTCATGACAAGTGTCAAAACCAAGAAGTACCCCACTGTTTGCGAGCTACTGTGAGACTGACGCTTCAGACCTCTGTTTCATCATGAGAGAGGGGCGCTGAGGGGTGAGCAAGCACTGAGTGCTGAAACATTTTTTTTCTTGTCAAAATGCTACAAGCACAGGTTTTGATGAGTTCTGAAGATAAATACCAAGGCATGACTGTAAATTAAAGAACCTAATAAGAAAATTTAGTAAGAAACTACACATTTTATTTATTTCTTAATTTAGTGATTTTAGAGAGAGAGAGAAAGAGGGAGAGGGGGAAAGGGGAAAGAATGAGAGAGAGAGAGAGAGAGAGAGAGAGAGAGAGAGAGAGAGAGAGAGAAAGACACCAATTTGTTGTTCCACTTACTTACGCATTCATTGATTGATTCTTGTTTGTGCCCTGACTGGGGATTAAACCCACAACCTTGGTGTATTGGGATGACGCTCTAACCAGCTATGCTACCTCATCAGGGCAAGAACTTAAGCATTTTAACACTAAACTAAAATCACTCTCTAAATCATTAGTCTGTCCCTGAGAGCATCGACCAGGGACAATTGTGAGCAGTGGTGCTCATTCCCCATCACAACAACCTCAGCCCAATGAATTTAAGCTGTATTCACTAACATCCTAGGCTGGCCAAATAATCCCTTACAGTTAGTTTTCTCAGCTTGAATACATTTCACACATCTAAAATGCAGGCTTCTTTCCATGGCCTATAAGGCCCTGCATGACCTAGACCGTGCCTACTTCCCCAACCTCCTTTTGTTCTACCATTCCTCATGTATACCAACTTCAGGCACACCTCAGGCCTTCGCAAACACAATTTTGTCTGCTGAAAGCTAGTCCCTGGCTCCTGTTCATACATCTGGTCCTTGAGAAGCCTTCCCTGTTGGTCTTACGTAAATAGGTCTATATTGTTTTTCTCTTTCATTTCAAATAATTTCACATTATTTGATTCCTTCCTAGTATTTATCACAATTTATAAATATTTATATACTTGCTTGCTTATCCCTTCCTCTCTCATTAAACTGTTACCTTCCTGAGGCAGGGACCTTGCATATTTTATCACTATTTCTATAATAACTTAAAATAGAGCCTAGTATATCATAAGCAATCAAAAAATATTTGCTGAATGAATAAAAGAAAAAGTAAGGTAGAAATTATTTATTTCCATTCTTCACTTGACGAAATACAAGTTCACAACACTGAAAAGCTTACTTAGTCGACAACATTTACTAAATCAAGGAGCCAGGAACAGAACACTAAACAGGTGTTACCCCTAGTTCAATGATCTTTCCACTTGACCGTAATTCTTCCAAATCATCTTCTCAATGTGTAAGTTAGACTAATTGATCATATTTCTTCATTCAAAAGAATATTTATTAATTTTCTACTTCTATATAAATTCTCTAACAACTCATTTCACTTTATCTGTGTGTGCGCATGTGTGTGTATTTTTGCTAGGCAAGCTTTAAGGATTCTTAAAAGTTGTTACAAGTCTACATAATTAAGCAAAGGTTTACTCAACTATCTCCAACAAATTAGTCAAGTATTGTTTTCCTCTCATGGATAACATGGCACATTCTTCTAAAAACATAGTTCTTAAACTCTCTGGTCTCAAGATACCTTTATAGCTTTAAAAACTGAGTTCCTCAAAGAGCTTTTGTTTATATAGGTTACATCTACCAATAGATGCCAAAATAGAAATTGAAACAGGAATTTTAAAATGTTTATTAATTCTTTTTAAAATAATAAAAAATACCATAGCATGTTAATATAAATAATGCTTTCTCATAAGAAAGGCAATTTTCCAAAACAAAAGAAAAGCTTAGTGAAAAGAGTGGCATTGTTTTACATTTCTGCAAATCGCCTTAATATTAAACTAAATAAAAGACAGCTGGATTCTCGTAGTTGCTTCTGCATTCAATCTGTTCTGACATCACACAACACATCTCATAGCCTGTGGAAACTGCACTCTTAAAAGAATAAAAGTGGAAAAAGGTATATAATGTATTAGTATTATTAGAAAAGTATTGTGATTTCATGGATGCCCTGAAACTACTGCCCTATATTACACTGGTTTTAATATTGACTTATTTATGACAGATTTCTTCAACTTTTTAAAAGAAATGTAAAAATGTAAAACTTGATCTACTACAATTCCCAGGGCTCTTGTTTTGTTTTTTAAAAGGAATAATTACAGAGCAGTATTCACTATGTACTAGATATTTTCACATGTTTTCATTTAACAGTCCAAAAAACAGGAACATTTTTTTCAACACAAACATATACAGGTAACAGTCTGAGGGATTAAATAACCTGTTCCAGATCATAGTGGTAGTCGCTGGTAGAGCTGAGACTCAAATCCAGGCCTTCTGACACTAAGGTCAGGACTTATAAACTACATTATTCCTGACCACTCTTGTAAATGGGAAACCAAGCAGAAAGTGAGGCAATGAATGAATGGCAGTGGAGTCTCAGTGGCAATCTGGGCTGTTGGTGGCTTATATAGGCTAACAAGTCCAGAATTACTCTTGAGTTACTTCAGAACAGTTGCGAGGTGTCATCTAGTAAACTTAATTGGACTTCCATGTAAATTCTAGCCTTAGAAATTATTCCCACCCTTTAACTTTTACTGCTCTAGCAGCTCTAATCTATGTGCTTCAAAAATCAGATTTAGGAGAAGAAATCTCCCAAACCATTTTCTCAGATTAGGACTGGCAAATGTAAACTAATAAAAGCCAGCATCTGGGGGGCACTTGCCACATGTCAGGCACAGTACAAAGCATTTTATAAGTACTGGCAGTTAATCAGTTTTAGGACTGCCCTACTCTGAAATCCTCTCTTTTGCTTTGAGAATTTCCAGTTTTCTAAGTTTCCGTGGTGAGCAGAGGCCTCATCATAAAAGGGCTGAGTCCCCTCATAAAATCTAATATTATGGTAAACTTTTTTCCCAAGTTCCCTGCTGCAAGGCACAGCTCCATGACCCAGAATCCCTGGCCCGACATTTTGGACAAGGAGCTAGTGATACAAAGAATCAAGGACAGTGCAGAATTATTTCAAGAAGCAGTGACAGCAACAGTGAGCTCCAAAGGCAGCAGTGAGAACAGCACTGATGACAGCCCCAGAACAGGAGGGGCAAGCGCTCCCACCCAGCACAGTGGTAATGCAGCCGCCCCCTCCCGACAGGTTGTGTCATGATCTTGATTGCATGTCAGAGCCATATAAATTGAGTCCAGTTCTCCAGCTCTCCTAGTGAGTCTGACATTCCTACATCTGCTCCAAATGCTTTTCTGCTTAAGCCAGTCAGACCCAGATTCTGGGGTTATAACTAAGAACACTCAGCAATGCACTGTTTAATTTGTTTAATTTTTACAGCAACCATGTAAGAGCAGTTATCATCTTGAACTCCGTTTTACAGATAAGGCCATGGGGCTTAGAAAGGTTATCTTGCCTAATGTCCCAAAGCTCATTAAGTGGAGATTATCCAGGAGGTAATAAAAACCAAAACTGATGATATTGTATCTAACGACCTCTATGATTTTTCCCAATGGCTTCCTAACTTTATTTTTTAATGTTAACTTCCAGAATACGGGCACACCCAGGGATCAGGATCCATTCCACAAACCTGTGCTCCTTCACTCTAGTTGTAAAGAGGAGAAATACTAACAGAAATGAGTTTTTAAAAAAAGTCTGTCCTGGGATTTATTTTTCTTGTAAAAACTTCACAGGAAAATCTAACAATGCAGTAAACGCAAAAATCATTAAATTGCATTAGATTAAAATCATTAGATTGCATTTTAAAAGAAATGTAGAAATGTAAAATGATGAATCTAGTGATGCAGTAAAGTTTCTCATGCATTCTACAATACAAATATTATTACTACATTCTAACTACTGTAGTTTTGTTTTTCCAGTGTTGTTTTAAATAACAAATTCAGTAAGATCAAAGGACACAAACTTAATAGACAGAAATCGATATCTTTCATATACATGTATATATATATTATGCATAGACATAGGTATGTTAAATACCTATATTTTACATAAAAATTAGGTGTGTTAGAGGACATGGAAGAAAAACACTCATTTACAATACAGACAAAAGAGACTAAATACTTTGTAATAAATTTAAGTGTCCAGGCATATATAGAAGAAAGCATTAAAATATTACTAACAGACACAAAAGAAATTGGAACAAATGAAAAGACATCAATTTCTGGGATGGGAAGAATTGTTCTAAAGATGTCCACTGTCTCTAAAATAACTTATAAATTTAATGCAAGTAGGATTTAGTCAGGGAGGGGAATAAACTAGACAAGTTAATTTTTAATATTATCTGTAAACAAAACAAACAAGCAATTCTTAAAAGAGAAATACGAAGGTGCCTGGGTCTTTCAGGTATTATATTATAAAACCTCAATAACTAAAGCAATGGTACTAGTATACAAACATATAGTTGAAATATAAAGTTAAAAAAATAGACTCAATTATGTATGAGGGTTTAGTGTAAAAAATGCTTCCTGAATAGTGAAGAGATTCATTAATCTCAGTTGTGTTGGGACAACTATGTAGCCACTTGGCTCTTAAACAGCTAAATCCATCCCTCATACCATTCACTAAATTAAATTCCAAACAGACCAAAGATTTAAATACAAAATTAAAACCATGAAAACACTGACCAAAGGGGAAGGATTGGGCGGGGGGGAAGATGGGGAGGGGAAGGCAGAGACAAATGTATTTGAAAAAATAAAGAAAATAAATTAAATGGAAAAAAACACTGAGAAGAAACACACCCACACAAATAGAGTCTGATCTTTGACAAAGGAGAAAAGCAATTTAAGGGAGTAAGGGTGCTAAAACAACTGGACATACACATGCAAAAAAATAAATCCGGAAACTGATTTTACACCTTTCACAAAAATTAACTCAAAATGGATCACGGGCCTAAATGTAAAATGTAAAACTATAAATCTTCTAGAAGATAACATGGAAGAAAATTTCGTAACCTTGGATTTGGCAGTGATTTAGATACATCATCAAAAGCATAATCCATGGGGGAAAAATGTTTAGAGTTCACTATCATTAAAACTTTTTCTCTGCAGAAGAAACTGTTCAGAAAATGAAAAAACAAACCATAGATCGGGGGGAAAAATTTGTAAAACATATATCTGATAAAGAACTTACATCCAAAATATATATATAATATATTATGTATGTATATATAAACCTCTTAAAATTCATCAATAAAAAACAATTAAAATATGGGCAAAAGATCTTACAGATACCCCACCTAAGAAAATATACAAATGACTAATAAGAAGCATAGGAAATGTGCTCAACATCATTATGTCAGAGGGAAACTGCAAGTTAAAACAACGAGATAGCACTATATACCTATTAGAATGGCTAAAAAAAATTGGCAATGCCAAATGCTGCCAAGAGCAACAGGAACTCATTCACTATACATGGGAATGCAGAGTGGTACAGCCATTTTGGAAGGTAGTTGAGCAGTTTCTTTCAAAGCTAAACACAGCCTTACCATATTACCCAGAAATCACATTCATTTACCCATAGGAGTTGAAAATGACAGTGCATTCCCACATAAAACCTGCCCAGGAATGTTTATAACAGCTTTATTCACAATTGTCAAAACACAGAAGAAGCCAAGATGTCCTCCAGTAGGTGAATGAGTACATCCATACAATGGAATATCAATCATTGATAAAAAGAAATGACATCGAACCATGAATATATCAAAGAACCTTAAATACATATTGCTAAGTAAAAGAAGTCAATCTAAAAAGGCTATATGCTATATGATTCCAACTATACAACATTCTGGAAAAAGCAAAATTATGTCGACAGCAAAAAGATCAGTAGTTGGGGAGTAGTTGGGAAGTAGAAGGGCAGGTTGAATAGGTGGAGCACAAGCAATTTTTTACATCACTGAAACCATTCTGTATGATACTGTATTGGTAGGCACATGCACATATCAAAACTTACAGAACTATAGGAGAGAGTGAACCCCAATACAAATATGTACTTTGGTTAATAACAATGTGTCAATATTGGTTCATCAGCTGTAACAATGTACCACACTAATGCAAAATGTTAACTACAAAGGGAAACTGAGTACACAGCAGAAAGGAGGTAATGGGAATTCTAGGTACTATCTGCTAAATCTTCTGTCAACCTAAAAGTGCTCTAAAAAACAAAGTCTATTAATTTTTTAACAATAGGTAAATTCCTTTGTAACAATGGCATAAGAGAGATCGTAATACAGTTTAAAATTCAAAAGTCCAAAGAAAAAAGATAAATTTGACCAGATAATTTTAAAAGAACAAGGTAGGGAAATTTGAAAGACAAATGACAAACTTGGTGGGGGAAGGGGGAATGTGCAGATTAGCCTTCTTTACATAAGGAGAGTGCCTACAAATTAATAACAATAAAGTTTAAAACATGATAGAAAAATGGGCAAAATATATCAAGCAGCAGTTTAGTTGCATTTCTAGGAATAGTATGCAACTGCAAAAGACTATGTGCTTACTAGACACTGGGTATTTCACTAATAGATTTAGCACATAAAAGTAGGATGATGGAGTAAAAGGCATTTTTTCCTCATGGTAATTTGCAAGGTATAATTACGATATGGTACACTATTTAGCATAGTTCTTCAATATTCTAAATATCATTACCAAAAATTTTTTTTAAATATTGTATTTCACAAGTCCTTTTCCTCATATTTTAAACAAAAATGAAGATACTACCTCTTTGTAATTCTACTTGACACTCATTTTTCTCCCTGTAAGTTTCTTCTTCCCTTAAGTGTTGGTATTGTCCTAGAACACTCCCTGGATGGTCTATATGTTGACAACACCTGGATCTGTACTCCTCAGGGGCTCAAGTTCCTATAGCCGTTTACTTAAGACTCAGGTATGAAGGGCATTTCACTTCTTAGATGAGATTCTCTTCTCCTGTAAATTTGCTTTTCTCCCTTGCCTACCTCAGACAGTGATCAGATTAGATATAGAGTGAGGTGAAAAAGAAGTCAGGAATTAATTCAAGTTTGTAGGTTTGCTTATTATTACCAAATTACCTATCACCAAGTCCAGTTAATTTTACCTCCTAAGCATTAAAAAGAAAACCCCCTCTTTGCTATCTCTACCTCTCTAGAAGGTACAACAGCCACACAATGGTTTCTCCTTGTTCTTGGACCCCACAAAACTGTCACATCCACCAGAAAGGGCTCTCCAGTACTAATCTAATCACATCACTTGCCTGCCGGCAACCCTCTGTTGAGCAATCAGGTGTTGTGCTGGTCAATTAGGACAACAAGCCAAACTAAAAGTAGCCATCCAGCTTTATTCACTTACTGTGACAGTGCAAGCAGAGGCAGAGAGAGGCATCCATTCCCGAACGTTTCATTCCCTTCCCTGCCATGGGACAGCCCCAGGTGAGGGGGGCGGCAATCAGGTGCACAGAGCACAAATGTACAGTATCATCGCATTCCAAGGAGCACCAAACAAAAAGGCTCTTAACTCTTTATGGAGTGGTGGGCTGGGGTGAAGGAAAGAAGTGCTAGGAGTGGAGAGGCTCAGTCAAAGCACAGGTAAAAGGGTCTTATCAGAAGTACCTGGGAGGTGCCCCAGCCAAGGTTTCTGATAAGGAAGCCTCAAAATGGAGACAACTGGGCTAGAAATGCAGGTGTACACAAGAGCATGTTTGGCCTAAGGGACTGGGAGAAAGGAGAGACCTGAATCCTTGATCTCAGTTTTCTCTAAAAGAACTGCAATGCACTGGCTGTACACAAAGTCTGGTGTGGAGGAGGCACCTTCCCCCTATAATGCCTGCCCGTCAAAACCTTGTAATTGCCTCTGGTTGGGCCTGAAAGATGACACGAGGATTGTGATGTGGAGCTGGACTCCTCACCCGACGGGGGCTACCCAAAAGCCTAAACTTTGGCACACAGTAAACAAAGATTCCCTTCATCTGACCCCATGCCTACATCTCTGCCCTCATCTCCTGCTTCTCATTTGATATTCTGGTAAAAACTACCCTCTCCAAACTATTCTAACTTCCATGCCTTTGCTCAAACAGTTCCCACTGCTTTACCCGCCTTCTGTTTCTTCACCAAGCAAACTCACACTTATGCTTTAAGACTCATCCCCAGTGCCACCTCCTCCAAGAAGACTTCTTAGTAAATATCCACTCTCATCCTAGACTCAAGTAACTACTCCCTACCCTGTGGTTCCATAAGCCCTTATGCATACATATTTCTATTTTACTTGCTACATATTTTCTGTTTATATATCTGTCTCTGCAACAAAACACTATATTCCTAGGGAACAGAAGCCACATCTCATTCTATTTTGAACCTACAGTACCTAACAGGTATCGGGCCCATGGGAAGAACAAGGGGAATAATCTTTGTGGAATTAGTGTTCTACACACCAGCACTGGCACAGCACGAAGAACAAGATACCACCACAGCAGGACTGCATGACACAAACCCCACAGGCTGGCCAGTTCAGAAAGCAGGGTCCCCAGCCCTGAGAGCCACTCTGCACCTAAGGCTCGATAGTTTCAAAACCACCTCATCATCAGGTTGTCGAAGGTGGACCTGCCGCTCCACAATTTGCTCTCAAACTTGTCAAAGACAATCTTAATCACCCTTCCCCCATCCCTCAAAGAATCTTCTTTGTTTCTACACCCTCATTTCTGGGTCAAAGACAGGCATCAGGTATCCACTATACAACAAGTATCCTATCTATTACTTGGATTTTTTGCTAAGCCTTTTATAAACCCCCACCTCAGGATAGCCACACCTTCTATAACCCAGGAAAGGGCTTCTAAGACAGCCCTACAGCGCTTTAGAATTCCTTCTTCAAAAGGCCACCTTTCATTCCTTATAATTGGCTTCTTACTCTACAGGCCTCAGGATCCTTGGCTGTCAGGATCCTTTCTAAAGACCTTTCATTAAAATATTGTTAGTACTGGAATATTTAAAAGTATCCATTTGCAAAGTGATAAACACAACTTTTCACCTTTATGTTTTAAGCTTTCTATAATTTAACTTTCACCCAATTTTCCTGGAAATCCAGTCAGAGAAAAGAAGGAAGAGGGGAGCCAAGCAAAAGACAAAGATAGCCATTGTCAGCAAATGTCTTAGTTGGTAACAGACCTACAATAACGTTAAATTGGGAAAGTCAATGTAAACTCAGGTCCTTAACAAGTCATAGCTTCTAGCTCTTTCATCAAAGAGAATACTAGACTTTACTCAGAGGTAAAGTGCATGGACGGATCCCAGACAGGCCTGAATCCAAGGCTTAAAGACTCCATACCAGGGAAGTTAAATTAAATTCATTTACTCTCTCTCAACAAACATCCTGGTATATTCTGGGATTCTTTGAACTGTTTCTGCTCTTACTGAGCAGGCACAGAGCTACAGACTCCAGAAAAAATCAGGCTGGATGAGAAGGATGCTAAACACCTCAAAAATCCTACTGAGGATGACAAACATGAGCTTCTTAGCTGGTAAAATCCTAACGCTGCAGGTAGAATCAAAAGCAAAAACAATAGTATGACCCATGTGGTGATGCTGTGCCACTTCAATGCAGAGCATCTACATGTTTCTGTATTATTTGCCATTTAAGAAATTTTAGATCCTCTATGTCGGAAGACAGACCAGGAATTTATGTGAAATTTATACCTACAAATATAATGTTAAAACTCTAAAATATTTTAATGGATTGTGGTTGTCTAAAATGAAATCACTAGATAAATAATAAGTAAAAAAGTGAATGGTAATCCCTGTACTTACAAGAGAACATGAGCGATGATGGCATTTACATCAAACAAGGTATCAACAGGGAATTCTCTGAGTAATATGTTGCCCCTGTAAAAAGTTTGAAAATGCATTATAGAAATTTTTCCTTAGCATCCAATTTACTTGTTCCTCTAATATTCTAGGCTGTAAAGTTAGAGCTTGTGTTTTATCCATTATCCCATGCACCTACCAAAGTGCTGGCCATAATATACACTCAAATATTCATTGAATATAGACTCAATAACTAAGTCAACTTTGAAAAAGCTTAGGCCCTAGACCTAGCAAAGAGACTGGAAATAAAAAGGAGTCCAAACAGGGCTTCCTACCAACCTCCTTGTCACATATACCCCAAATTGAACTGGAAAGGAGACACGTAGGAGAAAGAAGTGTCCTCAGCAGTAGGTCTCTGAGGAGACAGGGTCTCCCCCCATTTCCTAGGTCAAATCCCAAGGGTTTGAGGAAAGAGTTTTGAGAAAGCTCAGATAGACTGGCAGACCAAGTGCCATGGAATCTGTAACCTGGACATCGGGAGATCTCTCAAAAATAAAGTACATTTGTTTCACACCAGAATATGGCTTGACATATCAACTTAAAGCACTGAATTTTCTTAGTGCTTACTTACCAACCAGGTGTTTGTAATAGGAATTTACATAAGATTTTCATGTAATATTTAAAACAACCCTGTGAGATAGGTTATTATACTCATTTTATAGATAAGGAAGCTAAAGCGCAGGTAACAAATCTATTACTTGGACTTTTTGCTAAGTTTCATATGATGCCCACTGCATATAACTTTATTCTGGATTAGTGATATTTTATATACTTGCATGTTCTAGATGTATAGTTTTATATTTGTCCATCACACTCAAAATAACAGTTTACCTGAATAAATATGCTTTCATCAAATCCTTTTCTTTTTCACAGTATCTTGATATTTCTTCTTTGATACAATTAACCTTTAAAATTTAAAAGATTACATTTAAGGTTTACAGTATATCAAAAGGTAAATTATCTTGCTTTGGGAAACAAAATAAAATTAAACATTACAGTCTTGTCTCCATATCATATTTTTTTATTTTACTTTTCTTTCTGATTTGTATCTCATAATTGCTCACTTACTCATATGCTTGAGGTAACCCAGAAAAAAGGGAACTGTTTCCACGCCTAATAGTAATATTTAATTATACCTACGAGTTTACATTTAGTTGTCTTTTGAAGCAAGTAGAAGGTAACCAGGTAGAAAAGGAAGGAAACAAAGCAGAACAAAAATCACTAGCAAAAGCTAGGAAGCACAGCAGTGAGTGCTTCCTAAGCTGGGACCATGAAGCCATCTCAACGGCCAGCACATGTGTATAGCAGACACTGGTGGTTTCTCACCCAAAATCTATCCTCCCTTTTGGTTTTACTGACAGGGCTTCACTAAAAGCAAGTACCCATTAAAAGACTTTCCCAGCCTCCCAACAGCTAAGGATGGCTAAACAGTGTTAGAAGTCACTGGGTTGGGATCCTTTAGAAGGCTCTTAAAAGGGGGTTGACTGATACTCTTACCCTTCCCACTTCTTCCTGACAAAACAGACAAGATAACTAGAACATCAGCAGTAATCAGGGACCCTGAGGCATCTTTAAAGAAGAAACCCTTGCTAAGGATGGTGCATCAGAAAGAATGAACCTAAATCCTTGATGATGTCAAAGCAGCCATAACAGCCCTTCATAGTTTACAATCAGGACTCTATGTTAAAAATGTAAGGACAATCTTGGCCCAGGCTGGCATGGCTCAGTGGATTGGGCACTGGCCTGCAAACCAAAGGGTCACTCATTCGATTACCAGTGTAGGGCACATGCCTGGTTTGCAGGCCCGGTCCCCAGCAGGGGACACACAAGATGCAACCACACATTCATGTTTCTCTCCTCTTTCTCCCTCCTTTCCCCTCTCGAAAAATAAATAAGTAAAATCTCTTAAAAAATTTTTTTTTATAAAAAGGACAACCCTGATAGCAACATGAAGATAAAATGGAAGGCATCAGAGCACAAAGATAAGGAGGCAGGTTAAAAGAATATCACATCAGTATAGGTCAAAGATGACTGGGACCTGAAGTAAAACAGAGAAGAACAGAAGAGATTCAAGAGGCTTTTCACAAATACGGTAAGTAATACTAGAGAGAAAATTGAGCATATATATGCAGCATAAGAGAGAGGTTAGGAAAGAAAGAGATAAGAATGAAGAGATTACTAGATGGTGCAAACAGGTGGTCACCAACATAACTTACCAAAATAAAGGCTAAAAAAATAGTTGCTTTGTATTGGATTTTGTAAGTTTTGGGGTTTTTTTAAGATGAGTTTTTTTGTTGTTTTTGATGTGCAATTTAATTTTAAGGGATTTTGAGGAATCAGAATAACAATTAGGGAACCTACATTTGTTTTAAAAAAAAAGCTACAAAAGGAGAACTGATACTCAGAAAGCATATCAGAAATAGAGAATTAGAATTAAAAGTCAGAGTATAGCCATAACAAAAAAAGTAAATTTTAGAGTATGTAATATTAAAAGAATGTTTAAAAGTCAGAGGCTAAGGAATGGTTGGCATTATGACAATAGATTTGTCCATTTTTCCATTCAATATATATTTAAACACCTACCATATTTTAGTCACTGTTCTAGTCACTGGGGGTACAGTTAACTTCCAAAGAAAAAACTTTATCTTTAGAATGTATATTCTAAAAGTAGAGACATAATTTTAAAAATCAAGAAGCATGTAATGTTAAAAAATATTAAGGAATTTTCATAATCAAGGAAGGCTTCTCTGAGGCGGTGACATTTGCACAAACAACTTAAGTAGTGGAGTGAAACATACAGATATATAAATATGTGAAAGACATGAGTTCTAACCAGAGTGGGAAAATACCTGCAAAGTTCTTGTGGAAATAACACATCTGGTTCAAGTAACAGAAAGATGACCAGTATGTGTCAAGAACAAACTGACCAAAGTGGAGGAACTGAAAATGAGATTAGGGAGGAAGCCAGTGTTCACAAGATTGTATCATAAATGTAATGGGAAACCTTTCTGAAAGGGTAGCAATGTAATCTGACCCATCTCACCTACATGTGGAGAAGAGTTTAGTTATACAAAAGTGGAAGGAGAAAGGCCAATTATTAGAAGGCTATTGTGGTTTCCCAGAAGAGAAATGATAGTCTGGACAAGGGGGGAGGAGTAAAAGTGAAGATACAGGAAGTGGTCAGATTTGGAAAGTTTTGATAGTAGAACCTAAAGGACTTAATTGATGGATTGGTTATGAAAGAACGACAAGTCAAGGATGATTCAAAGTTTTTTTCATTTTTAAATCTGCATTGATATAGTAATATTGCTATACCAGCTTCCTTTAGATTATCACTTTCATGATATATCTTTTTCCTTCATTTATTTTGAAAATTTCTGAAGCCTGGTGGGTGGGGTGGGGGCGGGGGGCAAAGAGAAAGAAAATTTCTGAAGCCTTCATAGATGCATTTTTAAATGGCATAGAGTTGGGTTTGGTTATTATACACAGCTTGACAATCTTTGTCTTAATTGGAACATTTAATCCATTTATATTAGTGTTTTCTTCACCTGTCTCTGCCTCCTGAAATCTTAACTTTTGAAGATAGTATCAAAATGCTACTGTTTGTGAAGTCTTTTCCCAATAACATACATGACCTTCCACCTGAACAATCATATATGAGCTCTCTTTCCTTTTAATCACTATGGCATTTCATTTGCATCTCATTAAAATTGGGTTCTGCTAGTTACTAAAATAATTTGTGAATGTCTTTTATCCTCCCTATTTAGAATATAAAGTATCCAAAGAAATGGAATGGGTCTTAGGCATTTTTCTATTCAACAGCCTAAATACAGTAAGCTCACTTTAATCTCATAAACATTCACTGTGTATCTATTATATGCAAAGGGATAAGCTACTTAATATAGGTCTGTCTTATTTACCAGTCTATCTTCCATATACTTTGGCATCCTCAACTATAAAATCAAGTTTAAGTTATGTTAGTTCATAAAGGTACCCCTGGGTATGAACCTCAATATTCTACTCCAGTTATCAGATACACAGTTACTAGTTTACTAGTTACTAAACAGCATGATTATCCTTTTTGATTATTATACCAACATATTATTTCATTTCTACATTTCAGTTTAAAATGTTATTCATATCACCTCAGAGATGAGTACCATTATCATTCCAGAATGTAATCGGTTGTTGAAAGTTAGCTGAGACCTCTCTACAAAAAGAACTGAATATTTTTTAAGGTATATAACTATGACATAAAAAAACATATAATTGGTTTCTGCCATTGGCTCCTGACACAGAATTCCTAAAATCTTTGTAATTTCCTGAGTGACAGGAATGCTAGGAGCATTTTGTTCTAATATTTGGTCTTTAACTCCAGTTCCTGATATAAGAGCTTCTAAAACCCCTGGTTTGTCTTTATGCTAATGAGATGACTGGTGGCTGGGAGCCTCTAGATAGCTCCATGATAGGGCCTGGGTGTCAGAAAGACAGAGCAACCATTAAGAGGGTTGGAACATTCAGCCCTACCTCCCATCCTCCATGCTGGAGACTGTCAATCACCAATGGCCAATGATTTTAACCATCATGCCTGCATAAGGCAACCTCCATAAAACCCTAAATAACAGTTTAGAGAGCTTCAGGGCTGATGAACACCATCTAAATCCTATGAGAATGACACATCCCAAACTACACAAAGACAGAGGCTCAAGACTTACTGACTTTGCCCTATGCATCTCTTCCACTTGGCTGTTCCTGAGATAGCCTTTATGATAAACCAGTAATAGTAAGTAACATTCCCTGAGTTCTGTGAGCTATTATAGCAAATTACCCAATCTCAGGAGGGGAAAGTGAAAACAAAATAAAAGTGTGTAGGAATTTGTAACAAAGTCCTACAGAAGTTAGTTGTACTTAACCTGGAGACATATTACTTGTAATTGGCAAACAAAGTGACAGGTGGTCTTATAAGACTGAACCCTTAACCTGTGGGGTCTGCGCTGACTCTAGGCAGTTAGTGTCAGAATTGCTTAGTATGGAAAATGCACACATTTTGTGTCAGAAGTGTTCTATAGGGAGAGGGGACAATATCCCTTTAATAGCTATGGTTTGTTAAACCTTCTGTGCTTCCTGCCCTGGGAACTAGCTGCAGAGACCAAGAGGGACAATAGCCATCTCTTGGAAAAGGAAGGCTAATGAATTGAGAATGGAAAGATGCACACAGTGTAGAAGTAAAAGGAATTCTACGGAAAGTAACTTCACAGGGTAAACTGATCATAAATTCCTAACTGGGGAAGTCATGATGGGTGGTCATGCCCCAGGCATTGAACTTTAGTAAAAGGCTTATCTTTGCCTTAAGCAAGCCTCCTCCCTGTTTCTGTGCATCTAGGTTAGCACACTTCTGTGTTAATATGACCACTCTTTCAGACCCCTCCTTTTAAAGTGCTAAGAGCACATAATACTAAGTATCCTGTAATCCAGTTCCAGCTTTGCTTTCTCCCATCTCCATGTAACCTTCCTTAAATTCCCTCCATAATTTCAAATGCGTAAAAGAAACTGATTCTCCAGATCATTTGAGATCTTGCTCCACAGGGTGTGTCATCAGTTTGGCTCAGTTAAACTCTTATAAATACCCTCTACACGTTTAAACATTTCTTATGTCAACAACAGAAAGTCAGGGACACATTAATCTGAAAGAATTTAGTCATCCCTGGGTTACTTCTCATTCAGTTTTCTGAGGCACAAATTCTAAGTTTAAATTAAGGGAGCTTCATTATCTAGCTCATGTAGCTAGATAATCCATGATGACTGTGGAAAGGTGCCACAATTTTCCATGGTAAGTTTGAAAATTTCTTGAGAAAAGAATATAAAATTTCAAGTTACGTTGGTTTAATTTATTCTAAAAATAAATGAAACTACAACACAAGAAATTATAAAAACTTAGAATTGAAAAGAAAAAGGACTTCAGTTACCTCAATTTTGGTACCTCCATTTATGCTAATAGAAATTTAATAAATAATTGAATTGTGATACATTTGTCAAGCAAAACAAAATAAAAGTCTAACTATAGGATTGAATAATGACACCAAAGCCCCAATAGAATAGTTTACAAAATTAAATTAAATTCTAAGCTAAAGAGTTTCAAACAGCTTTGTTTCCTCTATACAATAAGCTGGAATTATCTGTGCTTCTGTTTATGAGAAAAGGTAGAAAAAGTATTTTTACAGTTTGGATAAAGAAGTGAAACAACATAAGCATTTTTAGATATTCAGCTGTAAGTCATTCAAATGTAAAATGTTTTGTCACAAATAATTTATTAACATAAATGTCTTTGCACCTTTGCCACTGAAATTCCATAGTCCTGGAGAGGTTTAACAGCCTTATTCAATTCTTCAAGAAATGCAGAAGTACTTGGAGAATCTAAAATAAGAAATGTTTTATGAATGTTTAATGACTTCCCCCTTAGAAAAGATAAAATCTTAAAATTAAAGCCCAAAGCTGCAAAAGTAAGAATATATTAGTTTGCACAACCAGTATGCCACAACAACAAATAATCAGTAACTAAACACACACAGTTATAGTATATTTTATACCCTATTTCCAAAGCCCCATTATTCTCATTTATAATGTCTTTATAATGACATATTTTAGTTTTGTAAGTGACCTTAAAAACTTTCTAAAACAATAGGGTAAATAAATGTTTAATTTAAACCTAATATCTGGCATTATTTTACCATGTTTAATACCATATATAAAAGAACACTTATAAATACGCATAAAACTTTCAAAATGATGTTAAAATACAATTTTCAAATAATAATTATAAGGGAACCAATGAAAATGTGGATTTACTTCACTTACTAATTGCAAGAATAGTATTTTTTTATGCATGAAGCCTTAAATGAGACCATTACAATCATTAGTTATATTTAAGAGTTATATTAGTTAATTCATTATAATTAATGATATAGCTAAAGCATTACTAATACTACATTTAAAGTTTTAAAAACAATTTTAAAATATTTATACACTAAAAATATGAAAGAGCATACTTTCAGAAATGACTACACAAAATTCAGATGTTATTATCTTAATAATTCATTTTTATTTAGAATTTACTATGGATTAGTACATGAGTAAAGTCACTTATCCTTATCCTCACAACAAATAAAGCAAGTACTATTTCCTCATTATAGATGACAAAAAAGACAGGTTAAGTGACTTGACCAAGGTCACACAACAGGTCAAGAGGCAGAATCAGGATTTAAATCAAGACAGGCATACTGTAGTAGCAGCTTTGTAAGCACATATTATTAATCCTAACAATAAGCTCCCAGTGAGCATATTGATTAAATAGCGATAGAAATGTCATAAAAATCAGAATATAAAAAATACTTACCAGCTTGATAAAAATAAGCTAAGGAGGCTTTTCCTGCTTGCAAGGTACTGAAATATTTCTGAGGACTCAGCTCTGGCAGAGAGTTGACTGCTGACTTACAAACAATGCACATGACGACAACAGAGATGCCACCTCTAACTACATTGAAACTGAAAGACATCATCAGCTGTAGTTGTGTATAAGCAGATTTTGTCTGTGTTTGTTCACTGCTGTGCTCTGTTGCCTCAGAAAATACCTGGAAAGAGCAGGTGTTTAACAAAGTTTTGCTGAAGGAATTTGTTAAATAAATGAAGTAAAATATGCAAAAAGAATAATATAAGACATTATGTATACATTTGATTTTGTCAGTACTTTATGATTTCCTTCTAGTAAAAATTTAAGAGGGGATGACATATAATGACTTTGATTTGATAATGCTACTTATTTTTAATACTTGTAAAAGATAATCAGGAAAATACAATACTAAGTATCTTAAGTTTAATAGTTACTGGAGTATGTGAAGCTAATTGTCACTTTTAAGGGCTCTAAAATTTATTCTCAAACATCCAATTCATTTTTTAAATTGGGTGTTTCATCCTTCTCTACTGAGAGAGGATTTACAATACACAAACAACTGTTTAATACCATTACCTTGGGAGTGAGACATTCAAAATATGCATATATGTCTACTACTTTAAAGCCCCTAGAAGATAGCTATTAAAACTACTTACGAACATTTCCTTCTTAATACACAAGTTTAATGCTCAAGACTTTATTACTACAGCTTAGAAATTCAAATATCTTTTCAACTCAATTCTAGTTTCTGAACTCAGATTTGTTCTAGATTATCCTCCTCTCATCTTTCATGCTGTACTTATTTCCACACAGTCCTCTGTATCTGCTTTCCATTCTCTTCTGTTTTGCCACTTTCATGTTTCTCTTAAACAATTTCTTCTTTCAGGAAGCTTTTCTACTAATAATCTATGTTATCTATGTTTAAAAGAAAATAGTTAGGAAAATTAGCATAATATAAAAATATACCTCTAGAAGGTAAATATATGCCTGCAGGTATAGTTGAAAATTTTGTTTTAATTTTTTTTTCAAACAAACAATCACTACCTTAAAAACAGGATGCAGAGGGGAAGCAAAAATTACCCATAAAGATAGGGGTAGAACTTTTCAGTAAAGAATAAAATGGTAAAAGAATTTTTAAAATCAGAAAAAAATTAAATTGGATATTTACTCTGGTCTTTCAATATTATCAATAAGTATATAACATGTCTTCCTAAGGAGTAGGTATATCAAACAAACAGTAGGTAAATCAGGAGTTAATTACTCTTGATTACTTCCTAATATTCTTTTCATTACATCTAATTAATATCAAACAGTGAATTAATTTAGCATCAATTTTTAATAATGAGCCAAGAGTTCAAAAACTCAAGTAGAATGATGAGTAAGGACTGTGAGAGGTATATAAAAAAGTAATTTTAATGATATAATTAAGGGATATCCCTGACATTAAAATTGATTATACATTACAGCCATTTTAAGCCAGCATACTTTAAAGCCATTTTATATTAATAGGAATGGTTTTAAAATAGGTCATCCAAGATTTTCTTTATATTCTGAGGATGAGGAAAATGCGTACATCCTGAGCCGAAGGGAATAACTATATAAAATCTGTTACTAATACAGTGATTCCAACCTAATAAAAAGATAAAATACTTACAATTGAAAGATTCAAGTATAAAATATCATTTTTCCTGTCTTTGTGGTTACAATTCAATTATTTTAATACTAAATTAGACTTTAGGGTTAACATATGATTCTTTTCCCCTAGAATGTATTTTGTAACACCAAAAGTTCTAACTGTACATTCAAGACTTGAATACTTTCCCACATCTATCCCATTGATCAAATGAGATTATACACATCAAAGTACTTCGCATTTGGTCAATTAGAGATTTTGGTGGTTATTCCTATATATTTTTAGAGACAGGAACTCAACAGTAATTTTTGCAGTTTGTTCCATCTTTGATAAGTTTTATAATTTAAGAAATGACTTAAAGCAGAGAATACTGCACAGGTCAGCTAGAAATAGAGTTTACATGGTTATAGTAAAATAAATACTGAATGATGATTTAACCAAACCTATGACAACCATAGTTAAGTAGATGGGGAGACAGAAAATAAGGGATCGTGCAGTCAGGGTGAAAAAAAGGATAAAAGAGAGCTAAATATTCATCTTTCACAAGACCAAAAGCCAAGTTTATTGGAAACAGGAATATCAATGCCAAAAGAAACAAGGAGCAGTTGAAAGTAATTGCATTTAAGGAATAATAAATTGAAGGGGGGAAGACACCAAAGGGGCTTTTGAAGCCACATAGAACCATCTGACTCTTTAAACAGTGTACCTTTTCACTTTGATTTTTAAAGTAATTACTTATGTGTAATGAAATCTTTTACAGCTTCCACTCTTATCAGTCCAATCCACCCCATGGGGCCACAGAAGAGTGTTCATTTCACATGAATAAAATGCATTTGCCCAGAGACATGGTCTCCTCATATAAAGATCTTGAAAAGAAAAGGTAAGTGTGGATGGCGAGTGGTAGGGAAAGAAAACACCTACTTCTAGTGAAGTTTGAGGCCACCATGTTACCAATCCTGAGCAAAAGTGGTATGACTCAGTTTTAACAGCTACTGTGTAATATGCCAGGCTTTATTTTCTCCTGTCACAGGCACTAAAAATGCTCAAATGGTGGCTGTTCATCAGCACAGGTCCCAGAATGAATGCAACAAAGAGAACCCATAACTGACATGCAATGAGCATATGACATAGAAGAAATAAACCTTGTTGGCTTAAGCCACTGAGATTTGATTAGTTATTATTGCAGAACAATTTAATTTATCTTCACTGGTATACAAACTAGAAGTGAGATGCTGCCTTAACAAGCACTCTAAAATACTGGATCAGGGATTAAGCAGCAAGGGCCTAATCAAGAAAACTTTTTTTTTTCCCAAGGAAACTTAATCAGAGACAGGAGCTCCACAAATGATCCACATTAAGGAGCACAAAACATTGGATGAAACTGTCACTACGATAATTTTAAAGTGGCATGTACCTAATGAATTTATGAGCATGTACCTAGGTGACTTATTCTGAGAAAAAGTGGTATGTCTCAGTTTTAACAGCTACTGTGTAATATGCCAGGCTTTATTTTCCAGGTGGCTAATGGTCTTTATTTATAGCCCTAAGAGAAGAGTCTAGAAGATGCGAGATGAGTACTGTGTGTGCTAGTTACTGTTGGTTGTGTTTAATAAGAAAAATACTGGAAGAAGAACCCCACCCAAGAGACTTGCTGTTCACAACTTAAAACCTTGAGTCCCCATCTTTGTGTGGTCAGGAAGCAAGATGAAAAAACTGCTCAGCCATGGACAGAGTTTACAGTCTCCAAAGCCAACTTTAGATGTGATCAAGAATAATAAAAATGAAAGGGACCTCTTGCAAGGCAAAGCCAAGGACCATGAAGAACTATGCTCTAGAGCATGTGCCAGAATACGAACTGTTACTGGTCTACAATAATGAGATAAACACCGAAATTTAGTGTAAATGTTTAAAAGCTTTTATAACAATTTCACACATTTGCAAATAAAATGCTAAGGGCAACCAAAGTTTCTGTTTGCCACCAAAATCCTGAGAGCGCCCCCAGAGGGAAGCGAGGAGGAAGTACTTCAAGGGAAAAACACCGACATTCCCGCTAGTGAGAGAAGGCGGCAAGGAATTTCCTTCATGTGCACTCTAGACAGGTGGAGCAGCTGGTAGCCCACTTCATCTAGAGCAATCCCATTTTGGGATTGGATCCAGCATATAACACTTGGCAGCTTTAAATGTTTGAAACAGCTTTAAAACAGCTTTAAATGTTTGAAAGACCACTGTGCTAAGGTAATCTGCCCTCCTAGAACAACAATACCCCAACATTGTTCATGTGGACATATTTCTAATTTTAAAATATCTAGCAACCAGCTTTTCTAGAATATCCTTGATACAGTTCCCCTTTATAGGTTTAAATTTCCCTTACGATTAACTGTAAAACTAATGGTTTTCCTTCTCAAGAAAAAGAGGAAATTAACAACTGTAAGTATTAAATAAATTATATTAGATCTGTGGGCATCTTTCTCTGGGGAAAGACATGTTTCATACTTTGCAACAAATGGGGCACTTATTATTTACAAAGTACCCGTAAGAGTATTTTGTCAAAAATCTTACGGTTTAATGCTGCTACTGTAGAACAGAACTTGCTCATTGAACAAGCCTCAAACAAAACATTGATTAGATCTCACACAGCTTAGCATTTAAGACCCAAAGGGGGCAATAAAAGGAGTCAACATCATCAGCATCTCTCTATTTTACAGCCCCTTCAAGATAGTTGGGGCAAAATCTTTTCTCTCCACCCACATCCCCTAACACACACACCCCAACACACCCACCCCCCGCAAAAAAAAGGAGAAAAGGATATCCAGACTTGCAATGACAATGAAATAAAAAGTCTCACAAGCAAAGACCTAAAACTAGTATGAGTACTATCTAGATGTTAACTATCACCTTGTGTAGAGAATATAGGCAAAAAAGAAAAAAAATACCTTCATGGTGAAAATCTATCTATGACCTCAAATTTTCACCTCACTGATTACAGAAGATAAAAAACAGGCCATGCCAGAGAACAGGAGAGTCTCCTGATTTGCCAAGTGCCTCAAATCACATAATTCTGAGTTCATGCTTAATTTATGTGCTTAAGCACGTAACTGCAATCAGTTAACTCACTGTTGCCATGAGCACTCTGCCTGCCCCCTTTCAAGCAGAACAGTGTACTACCCTCATCACATGCTCTAGGAATCCATTAGGTGAATTTCTTACACTCTAACAAACATGAGATCCTTCTCTCAAGTGTTGCTGGATTAGGTTTGTTAACTTCTTTGCAGCAAGTTGTACCCTATGTAGGCTGCACTGCACAACTGCTCAGCAGACCATTTCATCTGAGATATCCACATAGCAGTGCTAGACCTAAACATCTGTTTGTCAGCACACCTGTAAAAGAACCCTGTGTGAACTACTGTTCCAGAATCTGGAGTACAAAACAGACTCTGAAGTTCCCTGTGGATCACTAGCTGGGAAAAAAAGATAGCGACACTCTTCCTGGACAAAGCATTAGAGCAAAGGATAGTGAGTTAGAAAGGCTGGGTCTTGGCTGTGCTAGTAAATTTACAATGTCTTTCAGAGATACTGAATTTGTGGTGTTCTGCTCATTCTAAGAAAAGCACAAATTATTTTCTCGTCATTCTGCACTATTCTGTTCATTTTATTACCAAACACTCCCCCAAAAAGGTAACAAATGTTATGTTAGTCTAATATACGTTGGGAAATTTATTTATTCTCTACTAATTTATAGCAGTAACAAAACATTTGTTTTGTGTCTGAGTCCCAGGTACAGCTGGTGCCACCATTCATCACAGACAGGAGGAAGGTTTGAAGAATGCATGTGGAATTTTAGGGGCACAGACTATTCTACTTCTTCCTCTGTAGACCTTGATCAATAACGGAGAGTTCTAGTTCTGTCTTTTCCCTAAATTTATGCCCAGAGCATCTTTCCGAATTCTAAGTTTCAAAGGGCCACATCCCTCCTATTCACATCGCCTGGATCTCCATCTCATCCTAATACTACTCTTCCTTTAAGTGACAGTTCCTGAGGGAGAGAACAGTCGTCCTTAGAACTTAGGTTCACCCTTCGCCTCATTCCATTCCCTCTCCTCTCCAAGGGCTCAGGTTTTTCTTGCTACTCACGCCAGGGCAGGAGTAAGCAAAACGCCACGCGGAAGATCTCAAGTGAGGCCCTTCTAAACCCTACACCAGAGCTCGGCGGTGCGGCCCTTGCTGGGGAAGAGCCGCTAGGTCTCAATCCCCATCCCGGCAGGCGGACGCCACAGCCCCTAGCCTGGAGGATCTGCACTGCCACCCACCTGCTCGGGCGCGTCCGACAGCTCCCGCCACGTGAGGGAGAGACACAGAGCGGGTCCTTGCTCCCCAAAACCCGCTCGCCCTGCAGCCACGAACAGCTAAGCCTATCCGCGAAAACGAACAGCCTCCGGCTGCCACCACTCGTTGGAATCAGCACGCAGGGCAAAAAAACAAAAAAAACAAAAAAAAACAAAAAAAAAAAACCCCAAGGCTCCTCCCTCTCCTCGTGTTAATTACGTGCGACCTCTCCAACCAATTGGAAAAGCAGGGGGCGGGGCTAAATCCGCCCCAGGTGACAGGCGACCACCCAGTCCTCCCGCCGGTGCGAACAAGCCGTGCAGTTGCTGGGCCAATCGGCAGCGTGGGTGGGGAGTTCACGAGAGGGAGAAAGTGGAGAAAGCGGACGCCCAATCAGATCTTGGAGCCCTGGAGCGACGGGTCCTGTGGCCCGTGAGCTTCCGAGCGCGGCGCGCAGGGGGCGTGCCCGCCTGGCCCAATCCGCGCGAGCCCACGGTGCGGAGCGAGCGCCTCAAATGCTCGGGTTTCTCAGCTGATTGTCTCCAGCCGAGAGTTGTTTTTTGCAGCTACTGAGCGGAGCCGCAGCAGGAGGAGCCGAGACCCCCCGGGGGGCGGGGAGAGAAGGAGGGGTTGGGGGAGCCACCGCTGCTCTGCGCGGGGCTCCGGGTTCTGTCACGGCGCTTCCTGGGGCTGAAGGTTGGGGTGGGTGGGGGGTAAGGCACAAATCCTTCTCCTCGACGGCGCACCGAGCCCTGCCCCTTCCTTCCCGCGCTCCCTCGCCCGCCCCCCAGCCCCCTCATGAGGGTGTCCGTGCCGGGTCCCGTGGCCGCCGCCGCCGCTCCCGCGGCCGGCCGTGAGCCCTCGACGCCGGGCGAGGGCGGCGGAGGCGAAGGCGCCGTCGCTGCCGCCTCAGGCGCCGTGGTGCCGGGCTCCGTGCAGTTGGCGCTGAGCGTCCTGCATGCCCTGCTCTACGCCGCGCTCTTCGCCTTTGCCTACCTGCAGCTGTGGAGGCTGCTTTTGTACCGCGAGCGGCGGCTGAGTTACCAGAGCCTCTGCCTCTTCCTCTGTCTCCTGTGGGCAGCGCTCAGGACCACCCTCTTCTCCGCCGCCTTCTCGCTCAGCGGCTCCCTGCCCCTGCTCCGGCCGCCCGCTCACCTGCACTTCTTCCCCCACTGGCTGCTCTACTGCTTCCCTTCCTGTCTCCAGTTCTCCACGCTCTGTCTCCTCAACCTCTACCTGGCGGAGGTAAGGCGGCAGGACCGGCTTGCGGGGCCCGGCGGGCGAGCGGGGCCACCGCGATCAACTCCCTCTGAGGACTGGTGTGGGGGGTGGGGGGCGGTGATAGACGGACCTGAGACGAGCCCGGGGAAACTGAGGCACGCCTGGAGGGCGCGCCAGTGTTCTCGCCCCAAAACTTAAGCAGCCGATTGACTCGGTTACTGAGGGGCTTTGGGGGTGAGTGAGTGAGGCTGTGTGTTCTGACAACTTAAAACAACAAGACGACCCTTTGTTCGGCGTTCTGGCCCTCTAAGGTAAGGTGTTGCTGGCATCGCAAGAAGTATCAGCCCCGGTAGCTCTGCCGAAGCTGGACTGTGTTGAGAGAGGTTGGATGCTGAGGTAGCAGCAGCTCTGCTGAAGCTGGACTGCTGCCAGCCATTACGTCACCAGGCAGAGCTGTTCCTCTGCTATTGTTGCTGCGTTTCTTTTATTAGAAGCTTATATTCCCTCCTGCATCTCCTTTCCTGTGGCTCGATAAGCCTCACACAAATTCCGTTCGATAGTTCCCCAGCAGGGTTAATAATCGATAACCAATGCCTAAGGTCAATAGAAAGACCTCCATAAAGCGCTTAATGTTTGCCCCATTCTCTTCATGCTTTGGCTATTTTTCCTCTCTTACAGTCGTGTGTGTGTGTGTGTGTGTGTGTGTGTGTGTGTGTGTGTCTAGCTAATTAAAAGAAAATACTAGCTTAACCTGTGCCTACTGCAGAAACAAACCACCAAACTGTTTTTGCAATAACTTGCTTAATAGCTGGAAGCTAATCACACCCCCTTTCTTTTTTATGAGGAATTACTGGTTGGATTGCATTGTTCTGGGGAGCTTAGGTATTTGACCCATTTCAAACAGGTTTGGGAGTGTAAGGTTGCCAATCAAGTGTGTCAGCTAGTGGTATTTAAGCCACAGAATTCTGAGAATTGTCCAAAGAGTATCCCGCTCCCATCCTGCAAAATATCTCTTGAGGAGGAGAGGAAACAAGGTGACATCATATACTTAATACTAATATAGAACAATATTGGTCTATGCAGCTAATCCTCTCAAAGGCTTTTGGAGGTGATGAGAATTAACATAGCTATCAGCTAAAGTAAAAACATTTAATGCAGAATCAGTGTTTATATTTCCTGCATGCATAAACCAACTCTTTTCTCCCTTAGTAGGAAATAGAATGCATAATTTTTAAACCCAGCCATAACTTCAGTTTTTTAGCACACTAAAAACAACATTTTAAAATAAGTAATAAAACTTTAATTATTTTCCTTTCGCATGCCTTTGGAAGTCCAAGCAATACAATAACTAAAAACCAAACAATAAGACATAAATAAAAAACATGGGTAATCATAAATTATCATGCCATAGTCATGTCACTTTTTTGATGATGTTCTGACCTCCTAGTTGTTATTTAAACTTTAATTGCATTTCTCTCCTTTATAGTTAAACTGATACATGTATTCTTCCTGACATTTCTAATATAATACTGGTGACCTCCTTTCACAGAAGCTTTACTCTAGCTTCCAATATAGTTAATTTACCTGAACATGACTAGCATTCCTTGTGCCATAAACATCAATAAGTTTCCCTATATATTTTGACTGACAAAAATTATATTAATGATCCACTGTAAAATAGTTGGTGGGCAGTTCATAAAGTAGCTGAACACTTTTTACTTTTTTCTTCAGATATATACATACCATTAAGTGCACAGATCTTAAATGAACAGCTAGGCGAAATTTTACATATGGATATACTCATGTTACTTAACACTAGGTTAAGATATACATTATCTCCAGTGCCCCAGATGGTTCCCTTGTGCTCTCTGCTAGTCATATCTCTCACCCTGAGTTGAACAAAGTGGCTAAACACTATCACAATGGGGGGGGGGCCTCTATAATTAAGCTCAAAATTCAAAAAGTATGCTTCTCCAGCATAAACTACACAATAACCAGATTGGGTTTTCAGATTTATTTTTAATTGCTGATATTCCCAGCTAGAGAGGAAGAACAGAAATGTTTAAAAGTCTTTCTATTAAATCAATCTTGTTTGTACGATGTAATTTTAAAAAGCAATAGAACTCTATTAACCTAGAAAATATAATTTGGAAGGAAGCTGGCCAAAGCTTTTTCTTTTTGTATTCTCTTAAAAAGAGTTTAGGTTGTTTGTCTATACTTGTCTTTTTATAATCCATTTACCAATTTTAAGTCACATCACTGTATATAAAAGAACAAATTTTTAACCAGAATCTTAAAGTAACTTAACCAGAATCATTTCCCTATTCATTAGGAAAAAAACCTAAAATCTGTACTTAAAAGAATATTTTAATTCAAATTTTTATATCAATTTCAAGGAACTGGAAGTACACTTCCTGTTGATTATTCTGAGTTAATGAAGTTTTCTCAGTGAGTTATTAGTATTCTCAGTGAGCAGCATGATAGGAAAAGTCTATGTGGTAACAACTATTTTTATAAACCAGCTGGTTTTTCTTAACCAAAAGGCCCTATGTCTGTTTTGAATATGTGTGCATCTTGATTAACAAATCACTCTGTCTTCACTACCTGTCTTATTAATACCAATTTCATTTTATGGTTGAGCTCTTTAAGGCATTTGTTGTACCCACTTCTCACTAATTAAAAACATTCTAACTTTAAGGACTTAGTTACAAAGAACAATAGAACTTGGTGATTCTTCTAAAATTCATTACACTTTCAAAAAGTTACAACTGCCTAAACCACTCTTTCTTTTGTTGACTTCACTTGAATAGAATTGAGATAAAAGCAAGTAGCACTTTCTGAAATAATTAGACTTTTGTCAATAGAACATTTACCTTAACAGAAAAAAGTTCACACTCTTGTACTTTTAGCACAGAAGACTTTAGTCTTTAAAACAGATTACATTGGTCCCCTGTTTTCCACAGGGGATATATTCCAAGACCCCCAAGTGGATGCCTGAAACCATAGATAGTACCAAACTCTCTATATACTGTATTTTCTCCAGTGCATGCATAGCTTTTCACTTAAAGGAATCACCTATGGCCTCTCTTTGGCATATCCAAATTGCCAGCATCACTACTTTTGCTTTTTGGGGCCTTATTAAGTAAAATAAGAGTTACTTGAACACAGACACTACTGTACCGCCTCATTCAATCTGATAACCAAGACCACTACTAAGTGACTAATGGGCAGGTAGATTTTACAGCATGGATAACCTAGACCAAAGATTTTCAACCGGTGTGCTGCAAGAATTTTTAAAATGTGCAATACCTGACTATTCAGTCAGGGGCACTTACCACTTTTCCCTTACATTCTTGAATTTTAAAAAAAACAGCCCACACAACAATAGCTGTCTGGTGTGAATGAATCAAAATTATACCTATTTTTTTGCCATCAGTAAAAAATATATTTTTTTGGTGTGGTGCATAATTTTAGTAATTAGTTTACGTGTGCCATGAGATGAAAAAGGATGAAAATCTCTGTGCCAAAAGGGTCACCACCTAAGGTGGAAACTCCTTTAAGGATAAGAAGTTATTTTATCCTATTTTTATCTCATAGCAACAAGAACAATGGGGAATATATTATTGAGAGAGAATCTTGAAAAGATTAAAATCTGGAAAGTATTTAGCCATCAAAAATTTGGGAGTTAGCTCAATTTTGATAAACATTTGAGGGAAATTATTTGTATACTTTCTGGGATCTTTATTTATTTATTTTTGCCTAAAAGATTGCTTATGGTATGAACGCTAAGATTCTCTTAGATCTTTGTTTAATTAGATAAATTTAATTTTGTATATTACAGGTAAATCCTAATGAAATCACTTTGTATATTACAGAATTTTGCTTAGGGAGACTATTTTTATATGATGGCAAATGGCCCATGGTAATTAGGGCTTTGCTAATTTGGTTTCAACAAATAATATTAAATAGAGAGGCCAGTAAAACAAATATGTCTCACATCATGAGTCAGTTACTATTTACTGAAATAGTGGTTTAGTTCGGTGTTGGATTTTTATCCATAATTGTGATGATAAACTGTTTTTATCTGAATCTCCTAAGTAGTTCTGTCCATTAACTTGGTTCTATTTTTCCTGAGATCCTCTGTGTCATAAGAATTTAAGATACAATCCTATGGTAGAAGACATAATTACAATCTCTTACATTTTGTGTGATTTAATATTTTCAAAGCTTTTTTTTTTACCAGTTTGTAAAACTGGACCATTTTAATATTCTGTATAATAAAATAGTTCTCCTGATGGCTGCAGGCATGTAAGCTGTTGTAATATTGTAGTATGCAGAAACATCACAGTCACATTTTCCTGATTGGTGCATAGTCTTCAATAATTAAGAGCTACTTGTATAAAACTGCTATCAAACCGGTAAGACTTCACTTATATATCCATCATTTTCAGGATTATTGGTAATCTGGGCATCCTTTCCCCAAATAACCTTGCCTCCTTGCGTCACAAGGCCCAACTTGCTTACATTCACTTCAATGACAGTACCTTTGGTTATAACGCCCCAAGTTGTGTAAAGTGGGGATGAGGGATTTTTCTTGCCACCGAGTATTGGCAGGCAAAAGGTGGCTTTCAGTTCAGGATGTGTTACATGGGCCTTCTTGAAACGTAAGCCCATTGGCCTAATGAATCTTTCATATTTAGGTGGTTTTCGAGTAAACCCATCTCCAACAAAGCAGACTTTAGTAGCCATCTTCTTCCATGCTTTTTTCTCTCTCTTTCTTGTTTGAATAACTTTTAATACCTCTGTTTCTCCCTGGGCACGAACTTTGGTCAGAGGGACTTCCCATTTTCCCATTTTCTCTTTTCTTTTTTGTTTAATCATATTGGAAAGTACTTTAGCTTGGGACTGTCCCTCTCTGTCCAATAGATATGCAGGTACTGCTTCTTGTGGAGTCCTTTCATCATTCTTTTGTTTGGTGTTTCTCTTTCCATGCATCTTGATGGTCTTTTTCATTTGTATTTTCT